ACCCCTTGTCCACACACACACACACACACACACACACACACACACACACACACACACACACACACACACACACCCCTTGTCCTGCGGAAGGATAAGAACCCAGACATCTGCTTCTGATCAGACCTCCCCTCATAGGCAGGGAGTCATGCACGTCAGGGACCTCTCCAAGCCTAGATTCCACATATGCCGAAAAGTGAGGCTCACTAGACCTTCTCCCCATGCCTCACTGGGTCAAGATGCTGTAAGGTGAGATTAGACTTAAATTTAATTAAAAAGAGAAAAGAATCATGACCCAGCTCTCTCCTTAGGTCTAAAATAGGCTAGAGCTGATCTTTAGCACACATACTTGCATTCAATTCCTAAAGGGGCAAGGGCAGAATTCTGGGGTCAGTTGTTAGGCTGGGCTGGACCTCCAGACTTTCATGCTGACTGTACGCGTGTTCCCAAGGTTAGCCACCACCAAAAGTCTGTGACATTGAGAGGCAAAAACAAAACAGACTGTTCTACAGTCTTGGGAGTGTAGAGCTAGCTCCCTGACCAAGTGCAGTGACACCTATGAAGTGAGTCCCTAGTCCCCAGCAGTGTGGCTTGGAGAGTTACAGCCTGTGGGTCAGCCTCTTCCTTCCTGCAGGTATTCCCTGAGGCAGTCTCAGTTCTTCCCTGACCACAGCTCCCCAGAGCCTGGCTGGACCTGCTCCCTCAGTCCTCTTGCCCATGAAATGTCTGCTGTCCCTATCCTGGCAGCCTCCAGGGAAAGGGCTCCGTTTGAAGATTTGCCCAGGGTAGGATTACATCCTTGGTCATGACCTGAGTTGGGAGAATTTCCTCCTCCCTGCCCTTCTTTGGCATAAGTAACCCAGCTAATGCCTGCTCCCTTGGCATTAGCTAGAGGGGGATTTCCTGAAGGATGAAGTTCCTGGGAAATATCCACCCATTTCCCTTTTGTTTCATTAGAAAAGTGCTCCAAATGAGTCCCTTTTGACTTGGCTAATGGTTCCTGGGATCAGAACTAGCTGGAGCAGAACACAGAGACAGCACCCTTCCCCGGCTGGGTGACAAGCCCAATGGGCTGTCTGCTATCACTCAGGCTTTTTGTCCTTTCCCAGAGGGAAGGTAGGGCCTGGTTTAAGGCTATAGAGCCAGAAATAAGGCATACTGCACAAAGTTTCTGAGAAGAGCTAGCCCGCCAGCCCTGGGGAAAGACCCAGGAAATGGAGGTGCAGGCCAGGTAGCGTGGCCAGGGGACACCTGCCTTGTCTTGTTGGTATTGGGTTAAGGCACGTCCCATTCCTCACCCTCAGACTCTGCCTCTCTCTAGCGTCTTTGGCTTAGGTTTTCCAGATCCCATTTCCCACTGGGGCTTCCCAGCCTTGACTCATGGCTATGTGAGAGAAGCTGAACTCCTGAGCTGGTCAGAAAAGATCCTGAACCTGGACAGCCTAATCCCCACCACATGGAGGGCTGATGGTGAAGCCACCCTGACCTCTACCCCCTTACTGAGACCTGGAGGGGGCCTCCCTTGGCCTGGTGTCTGGGCCACCTTGTGTTCCCAGAGGTAATGGAAAAGGGCAAAGCAGGCAGGCCACCAGGGGGCCACAGCATCACAGGCACCCATTCCATGGCCACCCCTTCTTCCTTCTTGAAAGGGAAGACAGATGAAGTGTGGAGTGTCTGTGGTGCCAGCCAAGATAGGAGGTGGCTTGCTTAGTTCAGGAATTGGTCACTATGACAGAGCAGGAAGCACTGCTCTTCCATCTGGCTGTTTACTCTACATCCTACCCTGATGGCCCCCTTGCTTGCCCACCACGCCTTTTCTGCACCCCTGGCCTGCCTCAGGGCCACCAAGCTATGGCATTTTAGAGAAGGAGTCTCAGGTTCTGCCTACTCTTAGCTCAGAACTTCCAGTTCCTGATAATGGTTTCCTTCTCTGACCTGCACATAAAGGAGAGGAGTTGGAAGGAGACATCTGGCTTGCACCTTTCATCTGGACAGAATGGTACCCTCTCTCACCTCTGAGACCAAGGGTCTCAGGGAAGTCAGAGGAGATGGGAGCAAGGGCTGTCTGTGTCAGCATTGAAGCTTTTCTGTTTTGTTGTTGTTACAGTGCTAGAGCTCAAACCCAGGGCCTTGTTCATGGTAAGGCAGGTGCTCTACCTCTGAGCTATACCCCCAGCTGGAAGTCTTTTTAAAAAGCACTACAGAGGACACGAACATTGGCCATGATTTCTGGCTATAGGTGGAACCTTGTCTCCTTAAGTTGAATCAAAGTCTGACTTAGGCCCAACTACAAGGAATGCCATCCAGTGAAGGGGAAAATACACCAACCTCCAGGCTGAGGCAGGTTTGGTTTTCTTCTTTGGAAAAATGCTTATAAAATATGGTTAGCAGGACTTTTCTTTAGGACTTACTATCCACCTCCCCCATCACCACCAAATAAATAAATAAATAAACAACACACTCAGAATAGTTTTTTGGGAATTTCCCCTGCAGATTCAATTATGGGAATCAGTATAAGAATGAAGTTGTGAAACCAGAGCTGTGCATGCATGTTGGCTTTTTTTCTTTCAGTGAATCCCCACAACCCAGGGTAAATACCACTGACAGATTTTCCTCCTCTAAGGTATTCCTCCAGGGCATTCCTGGGAACCCAATGCCAGTCCTCATCACACCCTCCTAGAAATATAAGTTCTGTAGCCTCCATGATGCAGTGGGGGCTCAGACATCCCCCACTGAGCCCATGGGTAGAACCTCAGGTGCTGGTATTGTTTACCAGAGAAAGGTGTTTACAAGTGAAAATTCTGAGAATTGAGGAATAATCAGGCCCCTATCTCCCTCCCTGCCCTGCACCCATCCCAGTTCTTCACATCCACCCTGCAGGCATCTTCCGTGCCTCCCCGCAGTGTCTCCCACTCACGGGATCCACTGCCTTTGGATATTTTCTTTGGCATCCTTTCCCCACCTCCTACCATCATCTCGCCCAGTACCAAGTGCTTTGTCCTCTTAAAGAGGGGCCTCACATTCACATTTTTTTCAAGGTCATGTTCCTCTCTTGTCCCATATCCACCCCAAACCCAGGTAAGTTCAATTATAATGGGCAATGTCTTGTTAAAAAACTTTTTTAAAACTTTCATTGTATTCTGAGTCTATGAGTAAAGCAGACACATTGTAGAGAAATACTTTTTTTTCCCACTACTGGGGCTTGAACTCAGGGCCTTGTGCTCACAAGGCAGGCACATTACCACTTGAGCTATACTCCCAGCACGGAAAAATACTCTTAAGGGGGAAAAAGGAAGATGTGGGCTGGGGATGCACCCTCAGTGGTATAGAGTTTAACTCCCACCACCAAAAAAAGAAAGAAGTGGGGGAGCATCCTGCAATCCATTCTGGAGAGGGCTGCATGCTATCTTCTATCACCAGCTTCCCCCAGGACCCCAGGAGACCCCAGTCTGTCTGCCACAACCTAACTCTTCCCAGACTCACACTACCAGCTCTGTCCCCAGGCCACCCCCTTCCTTACCACACACCAGCCCAGCTGACTACCTGGCAGGTCAGTCCCCCAGGGTGCCCTACCTCTGTGTCTTGCATCAGCCTTCAGGATCTGTCTGGTGTTGTAATCTGCTGCCTCCACCCCCACCCCCACAGGGCCATCTTTGCCTTAAATCCTGCTGTTCTTTTGAGGCCTACTTTGGCTTAGTCACTTCCTCCTTGATACCTCTGAGCTGCAGCTCCCAGCCCAGTCCCCCCCAAAGTCGAAGGACCCTTTCTTCGTTTGGTTCATGGGGAAGCTGAGATTTGGTATTTGTTAACCAAATGACTGCCTTCCTGAAGTTTCTCCTTCTGAGTGGGTGAAGCTGTGTTAGTCAAGGGATAGTTGTGGCTGTACAGAGCTGGCAATGAGCTTTTGCCCAGACAGCAAAGGCTGGATGGAGTCTGATAGCTGTGTGGACCCACCCTAGGGCAAAGCAAAGGTGGAAGGAAGGGGACCCAGGGAACACAGTGCACAGGGGAAGCCCTAGCGTGCTGGCAAACCATCTTGGCTGACGGCTGGGAAGTCCAGTATACAGGCAGTTTAGGGACCTGGCAAATGGAGCCCAGTTTAGAGAGTTGGGTATTGCCTACCCCAAGGAAGCCCTCCTAGAGGTCCACCCCGCAGGCACCCTGGCTTTCCTTCACTGTGACTCTGTGCTTGCCATGTGCAGTGGCCCCCTGATCTGATCAGCCAGTTAAGTCACTTTCTCCGTGGTCCTTATCTCCTGTGCTGAGTGTTGAGGAAGCTGGGTCTTGGGCAGGGGAGGAACTGTTGGTGTGAGCCCATGTGGTATCTTTCTTCAGATTTTATACTATGTGCTTGGTTTTAAAAGCCAGTTCATAATGCCAAGGCTGGTACTCTCGGAAATGACTTTGGCTTCTGTCCTAGGGAGGTTCCTGGGTTGGTGCAAAGAGGCTGTGGCTATTTCTTAGGCACTACCTGGTGTTCCAAGTGGAGGGAAGGGGCAGGGAAGTGGGAGGAGGGTTTGGACAGGAGGCCTTCAGCTGGTTTGAAGCTCTGCTGGCCATCTCTGGAGTCTTCCTCTCCCATCCCCAGACATAGGAGTCCAAGGGGTTAGAAAAAACCTCTGGGTCCAGAATACCAGGACCTCCTGCCTCGCAGAGGTGCCTTATCTGTCTTTGGAATGCTCCCCAAATCTCATTTTCTCTATATGGCAAACAAATGTCCCCTAAATGAATAGCTACCAACAAAGCCAAAGGGTGCCCTAGGTTCAGCCCATTCCCTGATCAGATAGAATTGGTCTTTGTACTGTTTCATCTCCAGTAGCAAGGATGAGGGTGGAGTTGGTGGGGAAGGTAAGCAAATACTCATTCCAAGTTATCTCCCACCTGCCTCCCCTCCCTTCTCTTCACCTGTGTCAGTCAACTGTCAGGGAGGGCTGCACCTAGGTTTCTCCAGGTGGTTATCCACTGAGGGGCAAGCAGAAGCAGGGAGCTGTGTACGTGTGGACCATATCCCCCTGGAGGGGGTTTCTCCTTGCTGCTTGCTGTTGCATAGGGGATAGTGGTACCGCAGGCAGTCCCCATAGGTGTAGGCCCTCAGCAAACAGAGACTGTGCAGAGGTCAGAGTGCATGGACCCTTTGGGCTTTCTCTATTGGGAGCCCCTGGATGAGGCTGAAGATAGTGTGGGTTTCTGGAAGGCAGAAAGTCCCTCTTTTTCTGAAGGCAAGGAGATAGTCATTGGTCAGAGGCAACCCTGGTAAAGCCTGCTGGGGCATTCACAACTTTGCTCACTTAGGCCTCCTTGAAAATGTCTCCCTGGAAGCTGTCACTGGACTTTAGTGATGGACTGAATCTGTGCCCTAGACCCATGAGGACTAAGAGCAGGAACCTGGTGAAGCAGGACAGAGTTATGGAAACACCCCTGTCTGTGCTGTCTCTCCAGGTCTGCTACCTGTGCCACAGCCTCTTGACACTGGCTGGGGTGGTAGTCAGCAGCCAGGACATTTCTCCAGACCAATGGGTAAGTCTCCTAAGATGCCAAGGTTGGGTAGGGCAGGGTACCCAGCTGTGTCTGCTTCATCAAGCAATGTGGACTTGACTGGGATGGAACCAACCCTCCCTCAGGAACTGTAGAGTAAGAGGCCAAGAAGGGATCCAAGGTCTCTTCCTCCACCATGTCCCCTAAGCCTTCCCAAGGGAGCCTGACCCATTCCCCCAGCAGTTGTCCCGCCCTCTCCTCCCTTTGCTTTCCAACTTCTAAGCAATCACTGAGACATCTCTCCCTTTCTGACTTGGTTCTCTCTCCTGCCCCTCGTCCCTCACTGACTCCCCTTGGAATATGCCTGGCCCGTGCCACACCCTTCTCTGCCTCCGCAGGGTGAGCTGCAGCTGCTGTGCATGCAGTTGGACCGCCACATCAGCACCCACATCCGGGAGAGCCCTCAGGCCATGCACCGAACCAAACTCAAGGACCTGGCCACCCAAACCTATATCCGTTGGCAGGAGCTATTGGCCCACTGCCAGCCCCAGGTAGTTCCCTCAAGAACCCAGATCTGGGAGGCTTAGGACATGGTCAGTTAGGAAGGGTGGACAGAGCCAGCAGTGTGTCCACCTCCACCACAGCTGCTGAGCTCCACAGAGACAGAGTGGAGAGGGCAGTGGGGGAGAGGGGGAGAGATGCCTCACGCACCTACATTAGTCTATCAAGAATCTCATGCCCAGAGTAGCAGTGCCTGGAGTAGAGAAAGAGACCATGCAAAGAGAAACTCAGCCCTAGGGAAGAGGGCCAGGAAGGGGCACCAGAGACCAGAGGCATCAGCTGTCCACTCTCCTGTCTATATGTCTTGCAGGTCTTGGGCTGGCCACCTACTTTGTTAGGAGGAGCACTTCTAGGTTTTCCTTCCCCACTCTGATTTGTGTAGCAGCAACCTTTACCCCTCAAATTCTCTTAGACCCTCTCCAGGTAATCATATTTATAGTTAAAATGTATTGAATGAAGATCTCTTTCTGCATGAATACACATACCCCTCATGAAGTAGGAGTTGTTAGAAGTCCATTTTACAGATGAACAAGCTAACCAGAGGCCCCGTCACACAGACAGTTCCTGTGAATGTCAGAACCAGGCCCAGAGTCAGTCTGACACCAGGCACAGTGCTCCACCACTTGCACCCTCTCTTCTGGCATCCATTTGTCCAACAAGCAGCACCCCTGCTGAGCTGATTTGGAGATACTTCAAGCCCTGAACCCAGCCCTTGATGGAGACAACTGGGCCTGGCAAGATCCATTTCCACACCCTTCCCTTCCAAGTTTCCCTGGCTCCCAGCTTGCCTCTTCCCTAACCTCTGACTTGGGGCTGACACATTGGCCAGAGGCTGTGGCTTGGGGCTCAGATTTCGCAAGTCCCTGAGAAGGCTGGAGGGCAGACCTTACCTTGATCCCCCAAGAACTGGATCATACTGGTCTCTGGTGGGAAGCAGTGTGTTTGTCATGAAGAGAAGGCAAAATGATTGGTGGCCTGACAAGCCAGTGTGGGCACCTTCCTTCCACACTCCCAGGGCCTGTGGCAGTGGGCAAAGGGAACCCCAGGAGCGCTTTCTTGACATTGTGGTCAAGGACCCTGTTGATCTGCTGTGTCCTTACCTTGCATGTGAGCCTTAAGCATCTGTTCACACAGTGCCTGGAACAGAGGAGGCCTATTTACATTTCCAACACCTATAGTAGATACTGAGTGGACACTGCAAATCCAGGGGACCTGCAGACAATGGGTAGTCTACGCATCACAGCCTGATTTTTTTCTCCTCACCACAGGCCCAGTACTTCAGCCCCTGGAAAGGCATGTAAAGGGTAAAGGGGCAAGGGTGGGGCAGCCCAAGGCCCTTGACTCAACTGGGGACGGGGAACTGCAGGAGGCAAAGAGTCAAGGCCAGAGGAGGCCCAGATGCTGACCAACCTTGATGAAGCAAGAGCCTGCCTCCACTGCTCCAACCCCTACCCCTCAAGGGGTCAGCCTCTCCCTCAGCTCCTCTGCCCCGCCCAGCTATCTCCTTTTCCCTAAGGCATCTGTCTCCATAGCTCTGACTTCCTGGGGCCTCCTGGGCCCTCCCTGCTGGCCACAGTTCTCCCCACCCTCCTGCCTCTCTCTCACTAATGTGAGGTTCCTTTGTGCACATTAAAGTCTTATTTCAGCATCAGTGGTTTAGGAGACTTACTTCAATACCTATCCTGAAGGCTCTTGCCCAGCCCCAGCCTCCTGACGCCTCTGCTTGTGAGCTGCTGAATTCTTACCTCTGATAGTCATGTGACTGGCCCCCCTCTCAACACCTGAGGACTCTCAGATCTCCAGAGGTCCTTGTGGTCTAAAAGTTGTTAGGAGTCCAGTCTGGGACTGCTTCCTGCCACCACTGGGAGGCTACAAAGAGTGAGATGGCAGATCAGAACTGTAATTATGCTTAATTGAATTTATTGGTGAGCTCTGAAATCAACTCCACAGATTTAAGAGTAGGGGTGGGTCCAAAATACAGTGCCAGATCCTCTGTTGCTTTCCCTGGCATTCCCCAGATCAGTTTCATGGGTGCTGATCCCTGAGTGGGGAGCTGGATATTTTTGACCTGAACCCCTTGAGTGGCCCCTCTGTGCCCCAGATGGCCTTGGGTGTCCACTTTCTCTGACCACTGCTGAGAATCCATGGCTTGCCTCTGGGCTCTCCTGACTCTGAGTTGGATTGGGTTTTGCAGGTGCTACAAAGAAGTAGCCAGAAAGTGGCAGAGGATTACCACTGCCAAACTGTCCTGTGCCCACTTCTTAACCCAATCCTGGTGTCTACCTATGGAGCTTCCCCATGTGTGCTCTCTTTATGTGTCCTGCTCCTTTTCCTGTCTTTCATGTACAGGGGTTAACAAGGAGACTCCCCCCAACTCATATAAAGGACCAAGTGGCATAGACCTGAAGTGGAGCACGGGCCTGTATCAAGCTACTTCCCTCTCTGTCCCCAGAATGCCAGAAGCTGGGGCATCTATTATTCAGAGAGCACAGGTATGGGCCCAGCATAGTGCTGGGTACCATACAAAACATTTTTTCTACCTCCAAGCATTTGCCAAATGAGAAGTGGAAGAAACCCTTCCAGAGCCAGGGTGACTTGGATGCCTGGCAACTGGACTGAGAGTTCTGTTTTCTCTTCCTGTCTGCATCACATGCCCCCTTGGCTGGGGAACTACCACAGCCCAGCAGCATCAAGTTGGCCTCAGATCCTCTGACAAGACAGCAGGGACTCTGAGGAGCCAGCCTTCTTCACTCTCCCTCGGGGCTGTCCCTGCTTCTGACACTATACACCATGACAGTTAATACTCAGTTATTCAGTTTGCTCTGGAAACCTGGAATTCACCTTGAAATTTCCCTTCTTTGTTCTTTCTGCCAAGGACTGAGAGGGAGTAGGGAGGCCTGAGATGCTGAACCAGGGAGTTTCCAATTCTTCAAGTTGCCCCTACCTGACTCTGAGAAAGGGATGGAGCTGTCCATCGGTGTAGACATCTGGAGTCCTTCTCCCCAGCTCTGGCTCCCTGCTCCCCAAACATACTCATCCCCAAGAGAGAAATAGATACCAAGGGAAAAGGAGGTGTTGGTGACTACTCAGTCCCTCCAGAGACCTAGATGTAACCTGAGCAGAGGAGTGCACTGTAAGGTTATCCAAGGGCGGACATTGTCCCCCGGGGCCATGTAAATGGGCCCTCTCCAGGACTGACTGGGAGCTGACCAGATCTTCTAAAACTGGGCAGGGATCAGTTAGAGACCTGGCTTCCTCGAAGCCAAGAATTCCCAAGTGATGCTGGTGATTTCACCATTTGCCCTCCAGGTTTTTGACCCCTAAGCCCCTGGGAAACAGCAGGGATATCCTGAAAGAAGCCAGTGGAAAAGCAGCATCCGGGGCTGTGATGACGGATGTTTTCCTGCTTCCTTTTGGTGATGGTGGCAGGGAGGGGCTGGGAAGGGAAGGGCTTCCCAGGTGGACAGCTTTGATAACTCCCTCTTTGGAGGAAGTAGAGGAAGTCCTTTTCCTATGTCCCAGTTCCCTGGGTCTCCAGGCCCTCAGAAAGCTCCTTGAAGGTGGTCATCCAAACCTTTTCACTTCCCCCCCTGTGGATTGACAGCAGCTCCTGGCTGCCTTGGAAGTGGTCCAGGTGGCCTTGACTGGAGACCCCAATGTACACCCTGGGCCTTCTAGCCAGAGGACTGCCTGTGCAGAGTGATGGGTAAGAAACTCAAATCCAGGACACCAGGGCCCATGACCAATATGAAGGGCTTTCCAAGTAAGACTCCTAGGCCACCTCTAGGTGCTGGCCTGAGCTCCCAATGGACCCTTGGAGAGCCTTGGAAGGCATTTAGCATATCTTTGTATTTCTTTTACTTGGGCATAAGCATTTAAGCAAAAGGGGCAAGTAGGAGAGTATGTTAAGGCTTAAGGCCTGAAGGGTGGGTGCCCTAGGCAGACTAGACCAGTACATAGCCTTCATTTTTTTTTTTTCTTTCCAGAATTAATTTTTTTCTTAATGGAAGACCCAGGAATCCTTGTTTTTTTACCAGTTGCCCTTTTATTAAAAAGCATGAATCATGAGCAAGTAATCAAGCAAGGAAACTTTATCCTTTGACACCCACCCACAGAAAAGGCCAGCACTGGGAATGAACAGAATACAGCAGGAAATCCACCAAAGTATAAAAGGGGAGGAGGAGCTGGAGCCTTGTCTTTGAGGAGCCGTTGTGAGGGAAGGGCTCACAGGGTCTGTTACTGGAGGCTTCTTTCTGCCTTTATCCCTGGCTGGGGGGACTCTGATACCTGCCACTGAGGTACAGAAGAACACTAGCCTTGCCAATGAAACAAAAACCACCTTTTGAAACTTTCCACTGGGGCCACCTTGGAGGTAGAGCCAGGTAGCTCAGGTCTCTGCCTAGTAACTCTCACACCTAGAGACTGGGGGGTGAGGCTTGAAAGTGAGGAAAACAGGAAGTAGAGCACTGCTGGGGGTATGTGGTGACTTAATGGAAAGAAAATTGGGAGTTGCAAGACCTAATTTTTGTTACTTTATTATTTTTTGAGAGGAGGTGTTGCTAGGTTGCCCAAGCTGGACTCAAACTCATAGGCTTAAAGCAATTTTCCTGCCTCATTCAGCTTTCCCAGTAGTTGGAACTACAGGCTCCTACCACCATTCCCACCTCCAAAATTCTGACCTTACAGGTGGGTCGGGGGAGAGAGAATGATGAAGGGGGTAAATCTAATTAAGATAATTGTAAGTACATATGTAAATGTCACACGGTATGCTCCCTGTGCAACTATATTATGCTAATAAAAAATAAAATCAAAAGAAAAAAATTCTGCCCTTGCTGATTACTTGAATTTGGGTCAATTGCTTAATCTTTCTGATAAAGTGGGAGGAACAATATCAACTGACTTCAAAGGCACTAAGTAGCTCAGGCTGACCTCATACTGAAGATCCTCCTGCCTCAGCTTTCTGTGTGCTGTCAATACCAACTTTAAGTGTGGTCATGAGGGCAGAAGTGAGAAAATGTATGAGAAACCAGGCTCAGGCCAGGTCCTGGTAGCTCAGGACTGTAATTCTAGCTACTAGGGAGACGGTAGATAAGAAGGATTGAGGTTCAATGCCAGCTGAGGCAAATAGCTTGTGAGACCTGCCCCCCCATTTCCAAAATAATGAGAGCAAAATAGACTGGAGGTGTGGCTCAAAGCCTGCTTTGCAAGCTCAAAACCCCCAATACAAACCCCAGTCCCACAAAAAAAAAAAAAAAAGTTAAACTCAGAACAAATGTATGGGCATCTGCCTATCAACTTACCCCACTTTGCTGAAGCTGTGGCTCAAAGTGGTAGAGTCTATCAAGACCAGGGTAGAGGGGTACTGCATCTTCTTCACTGAAAACTACAGCAAGGAGCTTTCCCTAGGGGCCCACCATGATCATGCTATCTGGTTTGCACCCTATCTCCGGCATCTCCAAGGCCACAGCTTTTTTTCTAGTGGAAAAGAGCTGGAAAATGTGGCTTTGGCCATGAGGGAGAAGGGGCCTTTATATGTACCAGCAAAGACCCAATTGTTACTGACCCAAACTGAGCTGACTTTCTCAATTATCTCCACTGCTCTTCTGGTCTCCACTTTTCAAATGCCAAGTTTTGACCCAGAACAAAAGCTGCTGTCTGATTGATTTATACTCCAGATTTGCTGACAGGGCCTAACATGTTCCTCCCCTCCAGGGCTGCCCCCTGGCTAAAAGTTACCACCCAAGCCTGATTAAGTGCCCTCACCACTGCCCTTTGATTCTAGTCAGGGGGTAGCATCTGTCTTCCAGGTGCCAGTGGGACAGCCCCCTGAGGTTCCTCTGTCCACCTGCCCAGCTCTGAGGACCAGCTGGCAGGAAGGAGGACTTGCCAGCAGCACCGCCCAGGAGACCAGAGCTACAAGTTACTTCTAAGAGTGGCTTGTGGGTGGAGGCTGGCCGCTCTGAAGGTAGTGGTGGTTCTCAGCGTGGCTCCCCTCAGCCCCTTTCATCTGAACAGTATAGGGCTCCAGCCACTTGTTTATCAGCTTTCCAGTGGCACCAGAAGGAGTCATTTCCTGGGGGTAGGCGCTGCCTGGATCCTGGAAACAAGGGACTGGCTGTCGGAGACTTGGGGGTCTTCCTGGCTGTGAGGCTTGTTCCAGCCAGAGGGCAGGGATCAGTGGGCGTTGAGGCCCAAAAAGGAGGCAGAATTTGGGGCCAAAGGGTAGAACACTCTGATCCGCCCCCAAGAGAAGCTTTGGTTTCCTCCCCTGCGCCCTTCCCTCGGATATGCACCCCTAAGTGGCTCGCCAGCGTTCATTCCGGTAACTAGAGCGTGGGGGAGCCCTTGCTCCCCATTCCTGGACACAGCCCCGCCGTAGGTCTTGGGGGACACTTCGGAAAGACCAGGTGAGTGTGGTTCCCCGGTGGCAATGCCCAGAGTGCCTCTTCCGCCCCACTTCCCTTTCGGCGTCTTGGCGCAGCCCAAGACTCCTAGGCTCAGGGCGACAGGGCACCTGGAGGGGCGGGGGTCTCAGACACCCGCCGTAGAGAGGGCGGGCCCCGCGGGTCGTGGCCGGTCGCAGCCCGCCCCCCCTCCGTCCCCGTCCCGGTCCCCCGGGCTGGCCTTCGCGTCCCGCCCCCGGCCTCCACTCGGACCCCCCCACCCCGCCTGACGTCAGGGGGGAGGGGGCGGAGAGCGGCGGCAGCGGCTGAGAAAGAGCCGGCGCCCGGTGGAGCGCGGAGCCGGAACCCAGGGGTGCGGAGCCTAACCGGGACAGAGGGGCGTTGGCAAAGGGGCAGCGGAGGCGGGCTGGCGGGCGCGCGCGAGCGGGCGCGGCGCGGGGGTAGGGGGCAGACTGCGGTCGGAGCCGAAGGCGAGGGCGGCGCCCAGGGATTCGAGCTGCGTGGAAGAGGTGAGTGAGGCCGGGCTTGCGCCGGGCAGCTGCGGGGCCTCGGAGCCGCCGCTTTGTCCCCCTGCTCTACATGGGCTGCTGCGCGCGCGAGGCACAGCGAGGGGCTCAGGGAGGGGCGGCGGCGGCGACAGCTGTCTCCCCGAGATCCTTCCTGCGCCCCCAGGCTGCCTCCAGGGTGCTCGGGTGCGGGGCGAGCAGCGCCGGCAGCCTCAGGAGCCGGAGGGGCGGGCCCTTCTGGAAGAGTGGGGCTAAGGGGAGTAGGGGACCCTCGTGCTGTCCGGCGCGCGGCCGGGATCCTCGCCAGGCTCCCGAACTGCTCCAGATCCCCCACCCCCTACGGAAAGTTTGGGGCGGGCTTGGACGGAGGCCGATGTTGTGGGATCGGATTTCCCTACTGCGGCCCCCCGCCCGCCCATTCCGCGCTGGGGAGGAGGGCTGGCTCGGAAAGCCAGGCCCCTGTCCGGAGCTCGGCTGCCTTGTTCCGCGCTGCCGTCGTCCCCGGCTGGCTGCTCAGGGTGGGCAAGTGTGCTAGGCGGAAAACCTGGACCCCGCATCCCCCTCCCCTCCCCCTCCCCCTTGGCTGCCTGTTCTCCCTGCCCTGGGAGGAGCTGGGGTAGGGGCTCCGCCGCGCGGGCGGATCCTCGAAGCACGCCACCGGGGCCAGGGGCAGCTGGAGGCTGGGGATGTAGTAGGGGGACTGTCGAGGTCGAAGGCAACCCCAACCCCCCACCACCACCTTCCCGCGCTGGGGTTCTGGGCCGACAGGGGGCGTTCGCAGGCCGGGCTTCGCCACGCTCCCAGCGCCGCCGCTTTGTTTGCATTCAAATCCCCGGAGCTGGGGGAGGGGAGAACCGGGGAGGGGGTTACGACCCAGAACAGAGTCTTGGCCGGAACTCTTTGTTTTGGGGGGAGCAGGTCCCCAGCTCCTGCGTCCTTGTACCCGGCACGGGGGAGCTGGAGCAGTGGAAATCTGTCCCGGTGGCTGCCTAGGCCAGGGGAACAATCCCGGAGTTGGGAAGGATCGTCAGACCCAGGGGAGCGCAGCGGGCGCCTGTCCAGCGCGTGCATCCCCCGCGATCCAGGAGGAACCCCTTCGGACTCCCCGCCCCCTTCACCTCCACCCGCCCCGCCTGCCAGCGCCGCGGGGAGATCCTTGGTTAGATCAGCGTGGGCTCAGTTGTCTCGCTGCCCCTCAGCCCGAGGGTTGGTGTGTACTGAGAGCCTTTGCGAGGAACAGGATGAGGCCCTGGTCATTTCCACGCCCATCCCACCCACTTCCTGCCTCCCTGTTGGGCAACAAAAGGGCCTCGGGAAGCTGGGCCCCTTCGGCTCCCGGCCCCACTCCCACTCTAGCCTTGCTGATGTGGAACAGGGTTTTGGGCTCTGCCCGGCTATTGTCTGCACTTGAGGAGGAGACAGGCCGGGACTGGGACTCAGCACGCAGCCTGCTGTACCGAGTCCCCGGTGGAGGGCTTTGCTAACCGCCTACCCGCCACGGTGCCCCTTCACCCTGTTAAAGGGTTTGCCTCCTGGAATAAGGGAATAAGGTCTTGGAGCCGACCCGAGCCCCAGAGGCGGATCCTGCTTTTTTTTGTTTGTTTTGTTTTTAGGGTAGGGGGCAGGCCTGGGATTTGAACTCAGGGCCTCACGCTTGCTAGGCAGGCACTCTACCACTTGAGCCACTGTAGCAGCCCTGTTTTGTGTTGGGTTTTTTTCGAGATAGGGGCTCCCAAACTATTTGCTCAGCAAATAGTTTGAGCCGCAATCCTTTTGATCTCTGAGTCCTGAATAGCTAGGATTACAGGCGTGAGCTACCAGTGCTCAGCTAGGACCTGCTCCTTGTCATTATTGTAAGAAACTCTGGAGAGCCACCACCTCCTCTTTTTAAAATTTTCTACACAACTTCCTGTTGAGGAGGAGTGGGAATGACCTAGAGGCCATGGAGGACTTCTAGATGTCTGTTCATGCCTCCTGCTGACTCAGCTTGCATCCCTGGGGAGACCCCACCTTCTCTGGGGGCTGACTTCTAACTGAGGCCAAATGTGAGGACCTAGATTCCCCTCCAGAGAGGGGGCAAGGAACAATCCAGGGGTCCCCTGGGGAACTCTATCATCAGGTGTTGTGTTCTGTGCGCTTGATGTGGGCCCCTTTGCTGTGATGCTGACTTTCTCTTTTCCTCAGCAGTGCTGCTGGCCTGGAGATTAGAGCTGGCGTGTGTGCCATGGCCCCACACTGGGCTGTCTGGCTGCTGGCAGCAGGGCTGTGGGGCCTGGGCATTGGGGCTGAGGTGTGGTGGAACCTTGTGCCCCGTAAGACAGTATCTTCTGGGGGTGAGTGCCTGAAGCTGGGGAGAAAGGGTGGGAGGGAGGCAGGAGGGACAGGTGGGGGTGTGGGAGGGAGTGCTTGCAGGAAGTAAAGGGGCAGCTGGTAAGGAGTTACCCCCAAGCATGGCTTTATTCTGATGCTTGTGACTACTTTCTAAGAAAGTAACTGGCCCCAGGGACCCAGAACTGGTAGTACAGGTCAGGACCTGGATCTGTCCCCTTTTCACACTTAGGGTAGCTCTGGGAGACCTCTTACCAACTTGTAGCCCAGTCCTGGCTGCCCTAATATGCAAGGGAAATAGACCTATGCGTCTCATTTCTAGAATTAGCACTAGGCGCTGGAAGCCCAGAGAGAGAAACCTGAACCAGGACAGGTGTAAGCCAAACCTCCTATCCCACTAGTCTTTGTAGCTGTTTGCCACCAGAAGCCCCCTTACCCACCCTGTGGAATCCCCCACTGCTCCCCCCGTTCAGATACTGGTACTTTTGGTGGCCCTGGATGGGAGTGTGTAAGTGCACGTGCTTGCATGGGGCTGGGGGAGCAGGTCCTGGCAGTGCTCCTTATATGCACACACCTGTATGAAGTGGTGATGTCAGATGTTTGTATCATCCCTGTGCTCTGGGGACCTGGGATGAGCTCACCTCCCACAGGCTGCACTCAGGTGTTAATGAAGCCCTCCTGTGCTGTCCTGAGCCTGTCATTGCCTCCAAATACCAAGGCTAGTTTGAGGGGACCCTGTGGACAGTAGGCAGCTATTTAGGGGCTGACGCAGGATCACATGACTATGAATGTTGTTATGCTCTGTGTTCTGGGTGGCAGCAAGGCTTCCCTGACTCCAGGCTTCTTTGCCATCACTGGTCTCCGAGCCTCTGGTTTTCTTTTGACCTCTCTGACTGGCCTTGCAGCCCCAACTCCTTCCCCTTCTGCCATCCCTGCCTGTTTTGGGCCATCTGAGCTTACATCCAGCAGCCTGGATTTAGGTCCTGCTGGAGTGAAGGGTTTCCTGAGACAAGGATCACTTGGAATTTTCTTGTACCTCTTGTCCTGCAAGATCAGTCACCAGGGTCTGGCTGGACCCTGGTATGGGCAGCAGAGCAAAAAAAGGAAACAGCCTGGGAGGAAGCTGGGGTGGGGGATGTGCCCAGATCCTCACAGGAGATGCTCACTCCTGAGAGTGAGATTCATCAGTCTGATGGTTTCCTCTGGCCGGAAGCTGTGGCTGAGATATTCTTCCTTCCTCCATACCAACCAGATTTGCTTCTTCCTAGGCTCAGGAAGGCCATGGAGGCCTGAATTTAAGCTGTCAGAGCCAAAGGCTATTCAGAAAGTGCCCTTTAAATCTCGTCAGGGGCTTGGCTAGCTTCTGGATGTGGGATACTGGCTCTCATGTGGAACTGGAGGGATGAGGCCCAGGAGACCACTAGACAAAGGAAGACTGACCCCAAGGGTGCCTGGATCTGCCCATCCACAGCCTGCTCATCCCCACCTTGTCCTTGTCCTTGTCCTGGCAGAGCTGGCCACGGTGGTGCGGCGGTTCTCCCAAACTGGTATCCAGGACTTCCTGACACTGACCCTGACCGAGCAGTCTGGGCTCCTATACGTGGGGGCCCGAGAGGCCTTGTTTGCTTTCAGCGTGGAGGCTCTGGAGCTGCAAAGAGTGGTGAGAGGTGGGGCAGTGGGAGGTGCACAGGTGGGGTGAGGGCAGGACCTGGAGGGGCTCGGCTTGCTCAGGCTGTCTCCACCTGTCCCTTCTCTTGTTGAGATTAGCAAGTTGTTCTCCTTCTCTTCCTGTGGCACCTGTTGTATTCTGCCATGGTGGGATGATTTGGGGCTTCTGTTCTCTACTGAAAGAAGCTGCCAGAGGATAGAGACTATGTCTTCACCCTAGGTGTCTCCCCATGTTGCAGCTACAGGCTGTGTTTTGTAGCACGTGCTCAGAACATGCCTGTGACATTACTGATGTGCCCCTCCCTGTCCCCAGATCTCCTGGGAGGCCCCAGCTGAGAAGAAGACTGAGTGTATCCAGAAAGGGAAGAGCAATCAGGTGGGTGCTCAAAGCACTGCCCACCAGCCAAGCCTCTCACAGCACTCTCTCCCACCACTGCCTTTGCCCAGTTGCTGCCCTTCCTCCCATTTTTGGCACTCATCCCACATCTTGGGCCCTCATACTCTCAATGACGGGACACCTTCCTCCCTACAGACAGAGTGTTTCAACTTCATCCGCTTCCTGCAGCCATACAATGCCTCCCACCTGTACGTCTGTGGTACCTACGCCTTCCAGCCCAAGTGTGCCTACATCGTGAGTGGTGCTTTTCTCCCTGGGTGTTTCTTCACCTTGTCCCCAGCCTTTTGTACCCTTCCTTCCCTGCCCAGTCTCCCAGGCCCCAAGGGACACTACCCTCATGCCTCTCTTTCTCATTGTCCCTCCCTTCCTCTAGGACATGCTCACCTTCACTTTGATACGAGGAGAGTTTGAAGATGGAAAGGGAAAGTGTCCCTATGACCCAGCTAAGGGCCACACTGGCCTCCTTGTAGGTGAGTGACTACTCCCGATATAGGCAGGGCAAGTTCCCTAGGACTTGGTCGTGCTCTGGGCTGGTGTATGTCCACATGTCTGGCCTGGCTGACCCTCTTATCTCCCATAGATGGTGAGCTATACTCGGCCACACTCAACAACTTCTTGGGTACGGAGCCTGTTATCCTGCGTAACATGGGGCCCCACCACTCCATGAAGACAGAGTACCTGGCCTTTTGGCTTAACGGTGAGCGCTGGATTGAGGCTGGGGTAGTTGAGAGTAGGAGGCCCTGTAAGTACCCTGGTACCCTACCACTGACCTCCTTGCTTTGCCACAGAACCCCACTTTGTAGGTTCTGCCTATGTCCCTGAGAGTGTGGGGAGCTTCACAGGGGACGATGACAAGATCTACTTCTTCTTCAGTGAGCGGGCAGTGGAGTATGACTGTTATGCCGAGCAAGTGGTGGCTCGTGTGGCCCGCGTCTGTAAGGTAACCGAGTCCCACAGGGGTGGGCCCTGGAAATCCTTCTGCCTGCCGGGGACTGACTGTACCTGTCCCTTTGCCATTTGCCAGAGTGACATGGGGGGTGCACGGACACTGCAAAGGAAGTGGACCACGTTCCTGAAGGCGAGACTGGTATGCTCAGCTCCTGACTGGCATCTCTACTTCAACCAGCTACGGGCCACATACACCCTGCAGGGTGCCTCTTGGCACAATACCACCTTCTTCGGGGTTTTTCGAGCTCGATGGTGAGTTGCTCAGAAGTCCCTGGGATAGGGAGGAGCAGGTATTCAGGTTAGGGGTGGTGGGTGGATGTAAGGGCCTGCACCAGGCCTCTGGGGGAAGCTCAGGTGGCCAGTGTCTGTCAGTCAAGAATACTGAGTACCTGTCCCCTTTTTAGCTACCTGGGAAGGTGGGTAGGACCTTGCCTCAGGTGCATTTTAGAGCTGCATGTTCTTATGCCTGTGACTCCATTGCACTGAGCCCTGCTTTTCTACTACTTGCCTCGGAGGTGGGGTGAGATGAGGTAAGGCAGGCACCAGAACTGACCTTCAAGGTCCCTCCCTCACTGCAACAGGGGTGATGTGGACCTGTCAGCAATCTGTGAGTACCAGTTGAGAGAGATTCAGCGGGTGTTTGAGGGTCCCTACAAGGAGTACCAGGAGCAAGCCCAGAGGTGGAGTCGCTACACTGACCCAGTACCCAGCCCTCGGCCTGGTTCGGTGAGTCCATGGGGCAGCGGTATACTCCCGTTGTCAGCTCCAGTGCCCTTCCACCCAGCTGATTGCTCTCCTCTCCTGTTCTGACTGCACACAGTGCATCAACAACTGGCACCGCCACCATGGCTACACCAGTTCCTTGGAGCTGCCTGACAACACCCTCAACTTCATCAAGAAGCACCCGCTGATGGAGGAACAGGTGGGACCTCGGTGGGGCCGCCCTCTGCTCGTGAAGAAGAATACCAACTTCACCCACCTGGTGGCTGACCAGGTTACAGGGCTCGATGGAACCACCTATACAGTGCTGTTCATTGGCACAGGTAGGTGCCTGGTGAAAAGGGCAGGGAGAGGGGAGGGGCCCAGGGCCTCATGCCTACCCTGCCACTTACCCATCCCTCCCACCCACCTCCAGGAAATGGCTGGCTGCTGAAGGCTGTGAGTCTGGGACCCTGGGTCCACCTGATAGAGGAGCTGCAGGTGTTTGACCAGGAGCCTATGGAAAGTCTGGTGCTGTCTCAGAGCAAGGTAACAAAGGCAGGTCCACGCACTACTGTCCCCCGTGCTGTCTGTCTCCCTCTGGCTGTCTGCCTGCCTTCCCCAGTTGGGCTTGGCAGCATAGCACACCTCTTTTAGCTCTGGCTAGTTTCAGGAAGAATGCTTACATAAGGGAGTCTTTGGTCCACTGAGCCATTATGTATAGCTGGTCCCCATGGGACTACATTCCCAGACTCGAGCCTTGGTAACTTCTCTTCCCCAGGCCTCTCCAAGGTAGGCCAGGGCTCTGTCTGCCCCCTCTTTTCTGTGCTCCTATTGGCCAGACCTCCCAGGTTGCCAGATATTTACTGTGTGCCCTGCAACAATGTTGGTTTCTTTCCAGTCTCCACTGGCTTTCTGGGCCCAACCTTCCACTTCCTTGACAGTTTCCCTGAAGTGCTGGCATTTTCTTTTACACTCATGCAGAACTCTTTTCTGGAATGTTTGTAGCACCCTCTGAATTTTGATTTGTTTGCCTTTTGCCAGCTATTTTGACTCAAAATTGTTTCCTAGAACATGAACTATTGGTAGAAAGAAAGTGTGGGGCTGAATAAACATACAGATTGGCAATCACCATTCAAACAGAGGAAAACACCTTATGTTGTGCTGGTGCTATTGTGCTGGCTGCTGGGGCTTGAGAAAAACGTGTTTCCTGCTCTGGGTGTGTGAGTGAGTGCAATTACCCCACTCTGCCTCACAGGTCAGCTGTCTCTGTCTAATAAGGTCATGTCTGTAAGGTGCTTAGGACTGCTGGCGTGTAGTAAGCCCTCCCTGAGTTCTTAAGGCCTAGGATTTCTCTCTGCAGGTCTGTAGTTCTGCCTTCTTCCTCCCTGGGGCACCTCTTATGCTCTTGCTCCCTGCGGGACTCCCAGCTCCCCCTGCTATGTCCTGCCTGGCTGCCTTTCCCACATGTGTGGTACCACTGAACTTACACCTGATTTTCCCATAGAAGCTGCTTTTTGCTGGTTCCCGTTCTCAGCTGGTGCAGCTGCCCCCAGCAGACTGTGCAAAGTACCGTTCCTGTGCTGACTGTGTCCTTGCCCGGGACCCCTACTGTGCCTGGAGTGTCAATACCAGCCGTTGTGTGGCTGTGGGCAGCCACTCTGGGTGAGTTGGGTTCTTTTTTTATTTTTTATTTTTGGCAGTACAGGAGTTTGAACTCAGGGCTTGCTAGGCAGGTGCTCTTACCACTTGAGCCACTCAGCCAGTCCTTTATTGCAATGGGTTTTTTCGAGATAGGGTCTTGCAAACTCTTTGCCTGGGGCTGGCTTCGAACTGTGATCCTCCTAATCTCTGCCTCATGAGTAGCTACGATTATAGGCGTGAGGCACCAGTGCACATTGTAAGTCAGGTTCTGTGAGAGCCGGGCTTCTGATGTCCCCTGCTTCCCCTGCCAGATCCCTGCTGATCCAGCATGTGACCATCTTGGACACCTCAGGCATTTGCAACCTGCGAAGTAAGAAAGGTGAGCTGCATTTTTTGTACCCCTCTTGTTGGGATGGGCCCAGCACCACAGCTGGAGTTTCTGCCTCTCTGTCCCTCTTTGCCCTGGGTTTCCTTAACTAACCTCTGTTCTGTCTCGTTTCTGTCATTGCAGTCAGGCTCACTCCTAAAAACATCACCGTGGTAGCAGGCACAGACCTGGTACTGCCCTGCCGTCTCTCCTCCAACCTGGCCCATGCCCGCTGGACTTTCGGGGGACGGGACCTGCCTGCAGAACAGCCCGGCTCCTTCCTCTATGATGCCCGACTCCAGGCTCTGGTGGTGATGGCAGCCCAGCCCCGCCATGCCGGGGCCTACCACTGCTTTTCAGAGGAGCAGGGGGCACGGCTGGCTGCTGAAGGCTATCTTGTGGCTGTTGTGGCAGGCCCTTCGGTAACCCTGGAGGCCCGAGCCCCCTTGGAAAACCTAGGGCTTGTATGGTTGGCTGTGGTGGCCCTGGGGGCCGTGTGCCTCGTGCTGCTGCTGCTAGTTTTGTCACTGCGTCGGCGACTACGGGAAGAGTTGGAAAAAGGAGCCAAGGCAGCCGAGAGGACCCTAGTGTACCCCCTGGAGCTGCCCAAGGAACCCACCAGTCCCCCCTTCCGGCCTGGCCCTGAAACAGATGAAAAGCTTTGGGATCCTGTTGGCTACTACTACTCAGACGGTTCCCTCAAGATTGTGCCTGGACACGCCAGGTGCCAGCCAGGGGGTGGTCCCCCCTCTCCACCTCCTGGCATTCCTGGCCAGCCCCTGCCTTCTCCAACTCGGCTTCACCTGGGGGGTGGGCGGAACTCAAATGCCAATGGTTATGTGCGCTTACAATTAGGAGGGGAGGACCGAGGAGGGCTTGGACACCCTGTGCCCGAGCTTGCTGATGAACTGAGACGCAAACTCCAGCAGCGCCAGCCACTGCCTGACTCCAACCCGGAGGAGTCCTCAGTATGAGGGGAACCCCCCACCGCATCAGCGGGGGGGCGCGTGGGAGGTGCACCTCCTACTTTTGCACAGGCATCAGCTACCTCAGGGACATGGCATGGGCCACTGCGCTGCCTGGAACAGGTGCTGCCCAGCAGCCACCCAGCCATGAGGACCTGCTCAGCATGGGCACTGCCACTTGGCGTGGCTCACCAGGGCACCAGCCTCACAGGAGGCTCACTCCTCTGTGAATCTTGAACATTTGGGACCCCAGCAGCCAAAACTTTTCAAGGCAGTTTTAAAATGTGAGTGTAGGACTTGGCAGAGTGGCTCAAGTGGTAGAGCGCCTGCTTTGGAAGCGCAGTGCCCTGAGTTCAAACTCCAGTCCCACCAAAAAATGTGTGTGTGTGTGTGTGTGTGTGTGTGTGTGTAGATGGACATGTGGCATAACCTTCCTGTTTCTGTCAAGTCTTCCTTTGGCCTGGGGTCCTCTTGGTGAGTCTTTGGAGCTATGAAGGGGAGGGGGTATCACTTCGCCTCTCCAGCCCCCACCTGTCCCAAGCATTGGGCAGTGATGTACATATGGGGGGTGGGCAGGGTGCTGTACCCCTTTGGGGGGAGTGAAGGGCTCAGGGGTGGGCCTAGTCCTATTCCTAGGGCTATGAATGTCTTCAGGGTGGGAGGGGGAGATGGAACCTCCTGTGTGTTTGGGGGGAGGGAGGGGGGGCCTTCCACTTGGCCCCTGGGTTCCGTGGTATTTTATACTTATCCTTCCCTTAACAGGGCTGGGAAAGGTGGTGTGGGGGGAGGGGAGGGAGAAGGTGGGCATACTGTGGATACTGGCATATCCTCTCCCAGCCCTAGGAAAAGGGCTCCTAACAGTGTAACTTATTGTGTCCCTGCGTATTTATTTGTTGTAAATATTTGAGTATTTTTATATTGACAAATAAAATGGAGAAAATGAAACTGATAAGACATTTGTGCTAAAATCCATCTAATGGTTCCAAGGGGGGAGGGTTCCTTCAGTTGACCAAAACTGGACCCCACCACCACCATTCCCCCCATGGTACTAGAGCAACAGCCCCATTCTGCCTGTGCCCCTCTGGGAAGGGGGCAGACTGGACTGCAGCGTTTTCCCACAGTGGTGCCTATGGGGCTGGGAACCAGACCAGGGCTGCAGCCCCCAAGGGAAGCCATCCTTGGCTTCTAGCCAGAGGGAGAAGTCAGGGCACTGGGAGAAGAGGAGGAGGAGGGGCCTGAATTCCCAGAACCCAGGGGAGAGAGAGGAGGAGTGAGGAGTCCAAAGGAGGGGACTTCCTAGAAGCATTGAAGGGTGTGTGACAGTGGTTGTGTGACTCCCAACCAGCTCCGGGGAGGAGATAATACCTCTAGCCTTCTATCCGCCAAGAATGCAAGTCTTGAGTGCCGAAACCATATAGGGAATTAACTTCCCTTTGCCACCCAGTGAGTTTCAAGTCTCTGTCCTAGTGAAGGAGTGGTACAGGGCCCAGAAGTTCCGGAGAAAAACAATAGGCCTCAGCCTGGATTCATTTCTGAGTTCCTCTGATGGGTTTAGAAACACCTAACCCATGCTCAGGGAAAGAGGCAGTGGAAGTGGGGGGTCAACTTGATTGTGGCTTGAGCAAGCTGCTGCCCTGGGTTTCCCCAAGTGAGGGTTCAGGAGGCTGGATCAGGCTTGAATATCTGCAGGTGTCAGGTCAGACAGAGGATGTTGTGATACATACGAAGACTGATTCAGTAATACCACTACAGGGTGTTGGGTTCGACCCTGGCCCGGCCCTCCAGGCTTGCTCTTAAGTCACCAGACAAGTAGGCCGCCTGCTCCCTAGTAGATTTTTAAGGAATTGGGGCGGGAGACAAGCCAAATTCGGCCTGGGCCTTGAGTGATGCAGGGAACAAGGGGTGAAGGATCACGGCGCGCTCCCGGAGGACCCCCCCCCCACCCTTCCCTGGGGAGCCTGGTGGGACAAGGGCGGTAATGGGAAGAGCCCGCGATGCCTCGGGAATGTTAGGTTCTGGCGAACGTGACGTGAAAGCTGGGCCCTAGCGGCCAGATCCCCACACCCTACACTGAGCTGCGGCGCAGGCCCGCCCCCGGGAGCGAGCATCTCAGCTCCTCTGCCCGCGGCTTAGCCCCGGGCGCCCTCGCGTGGCGGCGTGGAGCGCGGCCCGGCGCTGCAAGCCCCGCCCCACCCCGCGATTGGTTCTCGAGGTAAGACCTAGACTTTGGATTGGTCGGATCGGGCTAGGTGGCAGAGGTCGGGGGACCACCGCGGACGCCGACTGGTCAGCCTGGTGGGACGGGCTCTGCATCCATCTGCCCCGCCCGCAGAAGCCCTGACACAACGCGGAGCCGGAGGATGGCGGCGCCGCAACCTTGCGCGGACGGCTCTTGCTGCTCCCGGGCAGGTGCGGTGCCCGGCGTGCAGCAGTCGCTGGAGGAGATGGACTTCGAGAGGGGTGAGGCAGCCGCGGACATAGCGCTCCTGGGCCTGGTACGGGTGGGCAGCCCGGGTCGCACAGCTCCCCTTGTTGCCGGGACCCAGCCAAGAACCCCGCGAGGCCTCAACCACTTTCCCAAGTGTTGGAGCCAGAGCTGGCTTCCCACCTGGTGACGAGCTCACCCGGGAGTCACAAGCCTGCTCAGGTGTCAGAGGGGCCCGAGGAACAGAATCTATGGTTGTGGTATTGCGCCCACCTAGAGGGCGTGGCATTTCGACCCTGGGGTTGCGGGGTGCCGGGCAGTGTACGTGCTTTAGCAAAGAGCCCGCAGATTATAGAAATCGTGCTGCCAGCAAGGAAGGCTGGGAGCCCAGGTCTATCTGCGCTGTCTTTGCAACCCCTGTGTTCCGTGACGTCTCCACGCACAGGCAGCTTGTGTAATTACAATAACGCCGTCATCAATGGTCCGGCACATGCTACTGTTGAGCAAGCATTCACTCTCCACCATCGCTACGTGGTGCTTCCTGCCTGCTTCCTCCTCCCTTCCCGCTGATAGGACTTTCAGCTTCCTTTCTTGCCCTCTTAGAATGTTTCTTCTCGCCACCCAGCTGCCAGAGTAACCTTTTGAAGATAGCAAACCAGATCATTGCTTTTAGAATAAATCCACAAAGCTCTGTGGACCTAATGTCTGCTTGCCTGTAGTTCTCATCCGTGTCTTCCTCCAGTCACTACATGTCAGCCACATTGGGCTCCTTTTGGTTTCTCAAATGGACCTCTTCCTGATGAAGGCCACCTGCTTTTTCAAAATGAACTTTTACAAAGGTTAGGCTAACTGATGCTTTTCCTTCAGATCTCAGCAATTTGACAACTCCTCTGAGACACCCTCCCTGAACATTTCTAGAGTTCTCAACTGGGGACAATTCTTCTGCACAAAGGACTTGGGCAATGTCCAGAGACTTTTTTGGGTGCCACAACTGGTAGGATGCTGCATACATCCTACCATGCACAGCACAGCTCCCCACAACACAAAATGTCTGGCTCCAGTCATCAATTGTGCTGCTGTTGGGAAAGAAACCTTGACCTGTCCAAAGCAGGACCTTTCCCCTCTGATTCTCTTAGCACTTGCTCTCATCAAAGCTGCTTAGTACCACCTGACAGTTTTGTTTGCTTATTCGTGTGTTAACCTGTTTCCCACACATAACAAAGATCCTTATCTATTGTGTGGACTTTTTTTCTTCAAATCACTTTTTTTTTTTTTTTTGTACTAGGGTAGGCAGATGCTCTACCACTTGAGCCATGCTCCCAGCTCTTTTCAGTTTGTATTATTTTTCAGGTATGGTCTTTCATTTTTGCCAAGGGCCAGTTTTGGACCTCCATCCTTCTACCTACCTATACTTCTTATGTTGCTGAGATTACAGGCATGAGCCTGTACCTAGCCCTAAAATCACTTTTTTTTTTCTGGGTTTATTTTCCTTCTTAAAGAGGTACATCCTTTAGTGAGGAAGGATTTTACACACACACACACACACACACACACACACACACACTTGTGATGATTATAGCTGAGTATTAAATTCTAGGTTGAGTTTCCCCCCAGTCCTTTGGGAATATTATTTATCTATTTATACCTGCTACGTGCTGTTAAATCTCTTGGTAATCTGACTGTTGGTCTTTGGTGAGTGATTATTTTTTCTTTTAAATCTTTTCTTGATTCTTAATGTTCAGGCATTTCCCCATGTTCACTTTTGGTCTTTTAATATGATTTTTCATCTGAGGACTCATGTTTATTTTTAATCGTGGATAATTCTTAGATGTTATCTTTTCGAGCTGTCCCTCCACCCTCTGTAACTTCTCTTAGACATATGTTGGTACAGTCTGTCTTATGTGTTTCTTTTTTTTTTTTTCTTTTATTGTGCTGTGTGGGGGCATTTACAAAGGTTGTTATAATGTATCAAATATATCATACTTGAATTCACCCCCTCCACCACTCTCCTTTTTTTCTCCTCTCTCTTATGTTTCTTTACCTCTCTAATATTTTTCTCTTTGTCTTTTTGTGTTACACTGTGGGTGAATTTCAAATCTGTTTTATTCAAGAATTTTTTACATGTAGTTTTGACCAAGCAAGATCAAAAATAATTAATTTTTTAAATCAAAAGAAATTTAAAAAACAAAAATGTAAATTCTGTGTGTGTATTACACAGCTCAGTTGACACCGAAAAGCTCTGATGATAAAAGTCCTACATTTATCATCAGTTGTATTTAAATCATTGTGTGATCTGCTAAATATTTCCCTGTCCTTCATTTTGTGAAAATTGGCCTCCCCAAAAGCAAGGTAATACAGGCTGGAGGTGTGGCTCAAGTGGTAAAACTCCTGCCTAGTAAGTGCAAGGCCCTGAGTTTAAACCCCAGTACTGCCAAAAGCAAGGTAAAAGTTAATGTGCTTAATTTAAGTGAGAGAGTGAAAATTTGAGATTTATTGACAGGCGACATGTCTTTAACAGAAGTTGAGCAGTGAATCAAGCATCCTCAGTATAGCACTGAATTCTATGCATCCTAAGCAAGTGTGGTTTTTTCTCAGTGGAGGACTCCTTGGAGCCATAGACCTGTGGGTTTTCTGTAATTCTTTCTCCAACTGGGTCTGTAGTATGTTCAACCCATTTGTTGTTTTATTTCAATTACTTTTCTTTTTAACTTATTAGCTTCTATTTCAAATCTCATTTTGTATTTCAGTTTTTTACCTAATGGTCCTTTGATCCTTCATCTTTTTTTTTCTTCTGGCAGTACTGAAGTTTGAACTCAGGGTCTCTCATTTGCTAGACTGTGCTCTACTGTGTCCCCAGCCTTCTATCCTTCATTTTTGTTTTTTGGTGGTACTGGGGTTTGAACTCAGGACCTCACATTTGCTAGGTAGTGCTGTACACTCAAGTCATTTTGCCAGCCCTTTTTTATGTTGGGTATTTTCAAGATAAGGTCTCTTAACTATTTGCCCTAGCTAGCAATGAACTGCGAGTCTCCTGATCTCTGCCTCCTGAATAACTAGGATTACAGGCATGAGCCACTGACACCCGGCCTATCCTTCATCTTTGTGAACAGGTTAGACACCGTTTCAGGGTTGTTTTTTTTTTTTGGCAGAACTAAGGCTTGAACTCAGGGCCTCACATTTCCTAGAGAGACTGTCTACCTCATGAGCCACACTGCCAGCCCAATTGTTGCTACTAGATCATACTATACTGGCTAATTTTGAGGCATGCTTTCCCCATTGGTATTTGCTGGTTGTTTTCATAGCAGTGAGTTGCTTTCTGTTTGGCACTTTTTAGTCTTTGAGCTCACCAAGGAGATCCTGTTTTGTGGGAGAGTCTTATACTGCCTTGGCATATCCTTATTTTATTTTTTAATTTTTTTGGTGGGACTGGATTTGAACTAAAGGCTTCATGCTTGCAAAGCAGACACTTTACTTCTTGAGCCACACCTCCAGTCCATTTTGCTCTGGTATTTTGGAGATGGGGGTCTCACAAACTATTTGCCCAATTGGCCTTAAAACCGTAATCCTCCCGACCTCATCCTCCCAAGTAGCTAGGATCACAGGTGTGAGCCACCAGCGCTCAGCTTTCATTTCGTATACTTTATGCACCTATCCCAAGGTACTTTCATATAACATTTTTAGTGCATCTGTGTTTTCACTGCAAACTGTCACAGCACGGCTGGTGTGGAATTTCCACTGTGGTATCATGTTGACATTCATAAAGTTCAGATTTGGGGTTTTTGCATTAGGGATTCTCACCCTGTGTTCAGTACATATTTGCTCAGTGAATGAGCTGCCTGGGCATGCTTGCTTCCTGCTGCTGTACCAGGCAGAAGAACGGGAGTTCTTCAGTCCCAGTGGGGCCAAGCTAGCTCCCTGCCACACACGTGGCCTGCAGCTGTCACTCCCACTCTACTCAGGCATCACACCAAAGCCCCTAAGGTGTGTGTAGTTCTGAGTACCTTTGGGTCCTGCACTTTCACTGCCTCTCACCACTTACATTGTGTTTGAAATTTGTTTCTGGCACTTGGCAATTTCCTTTTTTGGCTTTAGAATTTGACTCTACATTTGAACATTTTCACCATTTCTTTACCAAACATTTGCATGTTTGTGAATTTTTGTTTGGGTTGTTTTTGACACAGGGTTTCACTATGTAGCCCAGGCTGGCCTGGAACTTTATATCCTCCTGCTTCAGCCTCCCAAGTGCTGGGATTACAGGTGTGAAGTGCTACAGCTGGCTGCATTTGTGTGGTTTAAGTGGGAGGAAAGGGTTTCTGTGCCTGTCCAATCCTACTGTTCTGATTTGACAAGCTCTTGTCTGTCTTGCTCACAGCTATGTGACCAGCACCTACAACAGTCCTTGGCACACAGGAAGGGCTTGGTTATTATTTGATGGATGAAGAAAATATTGTTCCATTTATAGATAGGAAACTTTGGTCAGGAGTAGAGGAAGCACTAAGAACCCCTGTCATGCAGCACTGCTCAGTACTTTGGTTGACTTTTTTGCAGGAATCTGGTCGGCAGCCCTGCATGGAGACCTAAGTCGAGTGAAGTATTTCATCCAGAAAGCCACGGACCCTAGCCAGCCTGACTCAGCTGGCTACACTGCACTGGTGAGCCGGAGGAACAGGGTGGGAAGAGAGAATCTTCCCCAACCAAACCCCTGCCCTGTAACAGGGCCTCACTCCCTATGTGTAGCCCAGGCTGGCCTCAAACTCAGGATCTTCCTGCCATAGCCGCTCTAGTGCTTTGATTACAGGTGTGGACTACTACACCCAGCAAAGAGAAGCTTTATTTGGGGGACTGCCTGCTCTCTGAGAAGGGCATTGGTGTTTAGCTTGTATCTTCCCTTCCCTTTGCTTTAGCAAAGTTCCTATTTTAAGCATCATGTGAACCTAGGTGTTCTAATTGATATAAGAGCTTCTTGTCCATTATTTAACTTAGTTTTTCTAACAGTCCTGGGAGGTAGGAATGCTTATTATCCACCTTCTCCAGTTGAGGAAATGATGGTAGGAATGAAGAAGCCTGCCCAGGTCACTTGGCTGCTGCAGGTGGTCCCCAGGATGATGCCAGGCCTGTCATCGTAGAACCCTGCTCTCACCACCCCACTGCTCTGTCACCTGCCTGGGGTCTGCTGTCTGACCTCAGTCTCTGCTCCCTGCAGCACTATGCCAGCCGAAATGGGCACTACGCTGTCTGCCAGTTCCTGCTGGAGAGTGGCGCCAAGTGTGATGCCCAGACCCATGGGGGCGCCACTGCTCTGCACCGGGCCAGCTACTGCGGACACACTGAGATAGCACGGCTGCTGCTCTCACATGGGTCCAACCCCCAGCTGGTAGATGATGACGGCATGACCAGCCTACATAAAGTATGTGCCTGCTCCCCTTCCTAAATTTGCTCTTTCTTATTCTGAAAGTTAAAAGCATGTTCATTCTGGGAAATGTGGAGAAAACAGCAAAGTGGAGAGCAGAAAATAAAAGTCACTCATTACCTCAGTGCTCACTTGAGGATTAATGTGTACTTTCCCAACCTTTTTCCTGTGCATGTAAATTAAAACTAATATGGACAGTGTCCTTTTAGTCCTCTTGCCTTTAATGAGTGCCCTTAGTAGCGTGGCATGAAGGCTTTTCCATGTAAGTAGTTTTCTGAAACTTGTGCTGCTCTTGCCTGTTCCTACAGCCCACTTGCTGGGCTGCAGCCAGAGTGATTGCTCCATTAAACTCTTTATCCCTCAGTCGGCTTGACCCTCCTTCAAGGCATCTGTTTCCCAATTGCTTCCTCCCTCCCTCCCTCCCTTTCTCCCTTCCTTCCTTCCTTCCATTCCTTTCTTTCCTTTCCTCCCTCCATTTTTTTTTCTTTTTCTCTTTCTTTCCCCCTCCTTCCTTCCTCTCTCCCTCTACCCCCTCCCTCCTCTTTTCCTCTATCCTTGTCTTCCTCTCGCTTCCTTTTTTTGTGCTGGGGATCAAACTCCAAGCCTGATCTACCACTGAGCTACATCTCTAGCCTGCTTATGCATCTTTACATTGTAGATTCCCATATGTATGGCATTTGTGTATAGATTCCTCTCTTTCCTTACTCTGATTTTCTGCCAAAGCAATGGCTTTTAAAGGATTTCTGATCATGCTCTCTACTTTCCCTGGGAATCCCCCAGAAGCTTTCTTTTCCCAAGCCCAGAGCCATCCTAAAAGGCTGTCTGGAGTCAGTTCCCACCTGCCTTTCTTTTTTTTTTCTTTTTTCAATAAATTTTTTATTAGGACATATTCATTATATGGGGGAACTGATAGTGACAATTCCAATTAAACTTATATTATACATTATTTACATTGCCCCCATCATCTCTCACCCTTAACCCACTCCATCCCACTTAAAGCAATTGCAAGAGTTTTCTTAGTTCTGTTTCATGTAGGTATATAAAGCCCATCTACTCCATCTGCCTTTCTACTTCTGTCCTGAATGCTCACTAGTGGCCCCTATGTTCAGGCCCTGCTAATCTTTATCTTGAACCTGCTATTTACCGCAGGACCATACATTTCAAACTGTTCTTAGCTTGATGCCTCTCCTATCTCAATTTTCATGTGGCTTGTTTCTGGATTACAGTTTATCCACAATGCCCCTGAGAGCTTGCCCAGCTATATGAACCCTGAAGTCAACTTTTCCTGACTTCTGCCCCCTTGAGATTCCATCTGAGGTCTGTTTCTCACCAGCAGCAGCTGGGACTTTCTCTTGCATAGTGTTGTAGCTTTAGCACATAGCACAGGTGCTCAGCGACTTTGTGGTAAGTGAACACTGAATGTTGGGTTTTGTTCAATCCTTTCCAGTTGGAGAAGTAGATTACTTGAGTCTTAATGGTCGAAACTGGGTGGTCAGGATGGGCATTTGCAGGTGGGCCCTGCCATAGGTGTATCCAGCTAGTGTTATCCACAGCTTGTGGTATGTTAGATGCAACTCCATCCCTTTTTCTCTCATTCACACAATGCAAATGTAGAGGGAATATATACAAATTGTCCTCTGTGTGTGAGCTTTTTTTTTTTTAAGACTATTTGAAAACATTGGTACTTTTGTGTGTGTGTATGTGTTATTTTATTTTACTTATTTATTTATTTTGTATGGTACTGGTACTTGAACTCACCAGCACTTGCTAGGCAGGTGCTGTATGTACCACCTGAACTACTACACCAGCCTCAGTACCTTATTTCTTATGCTTCTTTCCTTTTTTTCTTTTTTTTTTGAGATAGGGTTTCACAATGTAGCCCAGCACCTACTAGGTAATCTGTGAATGCTGGTGGAGATGCTTAGGGATCCAAAATCCTGTACTTCTTTTTAATTTTTTTTTTTTTGGCAGCAATGAGGTTTGAATTCACGGCCTCACGCTTGCAAAGCAGGTGCCCTTACCGCTTGAGTCCTGCTTCAGCCCCTATAACTTGTTTTTAGTATGTACAGCTAGCCAAGGACAAGAATGGCTGCTAGGCAAAGGACACTAGAAAGAAAAACTCAGGCTAACTGCTTATATAGCACTGAGTCTCATGGCATTTGGTAAGGATTAGAAATCTGCTCAAACACCCAGCATCTCTTTATTTTAGGAGCAAGAAGTTCCTGGAATAGAGTAAAAAAGAACAGGACCTATGGGCTATGCCTTTTGATGTGGACCTCTCTCCACAGGCTGCTGAGAAGGGTCACATGGACATTTGCTCTCTCCTGTTGCAACACAGTCCAGCCCTGAAGGCCGTCCGGGATCGGAAAGCACGGCTAGCATGTGACCTGCTGCCCTGCAACAGTGACCTACGGAACCTGCTGGCCAGCTGAGGCACCACCTCCTGTCTCCAGCCACCCTTGAGGGGTACACAGACTAGTTCTCCATGCTCTTGCTTTATTCAGCACCCACACTGCAGGGCTGGAAGATGGGGCAGAAGACCCAGGAAGAACCCGGCTCTGGCCAGTGTGGTAGCCAGGGAGGAGATTTGGTGGAGCAGAAAGCATTTAAGCCTGGACAAATGGTCATATTCTAAGTTCATGCAGAAACAGCTCTCTATTCGAAAAAAATAAACTTATATCCTGACTTCATCCCCCACACACAGGTAAATTTCAAGGTTAGAGGCCGGAATATAAAAGCACAAAACAATGTAAGTACTAGAAGAAAATACAGAGTACGTGGCCAAAGCTGCTTTCTAGCTGAGTGAGCCTGGTTCATGGCAGTTTACCTGTCTGTCCCTCAGTTTCCTCATCTATGAGGTAAGAATGATTATGGTAGGGCCCGGCTCAGGGTTGCTATGGAGACTGAATGAGTAAATCTCTGGAGGTCAATTAAGTGCCTGGCTCACTGCAAGTAGCATACAAGTGCCCAGTTCCCAAATCTTGACCAACACTGGCTTTTCTACCATAATTTAATTAATTCTAGCAATCTGATAGGTACAAAAGTATTTGCTTTATGTGTTTTGCATCCCTTATTACTAGTGAGGCTGTGCACCTGTCTCTGAACTTACTGTCAGTGCCCATTTAAAAGGTTTTTCTTAGCCGGACATGGTGGTGCACTCTGAGACAAAAGGATCACAAGTTCAAGGCCAGCCTGGGCTACATAGTGAGACCCCCATCTCTCAAAAAACCAAAAAAATTTTTTTCCTTTTGTTGCTTATATTCTGAACATTAATCCTTTGTTTTACATATATACATTTATACGTACATATATATATTTATTTTTACATTTCCTTTCATACTTGTGTTAACTTTGTTGGTATCTGGTCATAGAAATTGGTACAGCCATTGTAGGTGGCAGTTTGGCAATGTCTATTTAAATGCGCAGGACCAATAATTTGATTTTTCTATAGTTACATAGAGAGACTCATCCATGGTTATGAAGATGTCTAAATACAGAGACATTTACAAACATGTACATTTGACCTGGGGTGTAGCTCAGTGGTAGAGCACTTGTCAGGCATGTGCAAGGCCTTGAGTTTGATACTTTGCACCAGGGAGAAAAGAAAGGATATGTGTTGAAGCATGAGGTATGAAAGAGAGAACTAACCTGCTCTCCAATAGGGAAGGGTCAGGTTCTTCATACACATCACTGAAGCATAGCACGTGCTACCGTGGGAAAACTGACAAGTGTCCAAGCATGGTGCCTCTCCAAACAAAATATGCAGAGGAAGAGTTAGGACCATGCAAATCAACCTGACATCCAGGGTTACTGTGGCAAAAGTAGTTAATTGAGGTCTCAAGCTTTATCTTTAAGGTTTGGATTTTTTTTTAAGAAGGAATAATTAGAGTTAATACAAGCTAGTTTCATGAAGGACCTACTGGTTTTTTGAGAATTCAGATGAAGGCTTCTGATGCAAAATATCCTTTTTTCAAATGTTGAAAGGGAAGAATTTTAGCATCAGGGTGGACAGCGGAGGGCAGTGCTATCATCTGGCTTTCTTGTCTGCCCTCACTGTAGTCTGAGTAACTGCCTCCCTCCTCAGCCAAAAGTGTTTGGGTTTCATTAAAAAGCTCTGAGTTTCCCTAAGTTCTCTCAGAACTTAGGAGCACTTCTGCATGGTCAGCTGTGTCAGCAGGACCTCTGGCAACTCTCTGGGGCCTCTGGTTGTCCTTCAGCCACAGTTCCCTTCCCTCTTATTTGGTCATCTCTGCTCATACTGCCCTGACTCTGGAGTCTTGTTTACTGGCTATCTGATTTCCTTTCAAAGGTCAAGAGTTCAAGGCACAGCTGGGTGAAGGGCATGCATGGCTTCTGAAAACTAGGAAATTTGGTTTTGGTAGCTAAAGACATTGCTTTGTGGCTATCATGATATGTGATCGTTACACACTGGAACTGGAGTGAATCTCAGGATCCCTTCCCTGTGGAAGGGCACACTCTGCCCAGAGAGCATCTGGTAGGAACCTGCATTGGGGCCCGGGGGGTGGTGTATTGAAGACTTCTCCAGAGTCATGAGGACCAATGACAGGCTAGGCTTGGCTCCTGATGGTGGGCAGTATAACACATTTGGCTATCACTGTGGTGAAGGACAAATCAGGAAGAAAAGGGTGGCCTTGAAACTGTTGAGTTGAGAAATCATGTGAAGCCCGGTTTGGTTATGTAGGTGCCAGAGGATTCCTAAGGCAGTAGGTCAGCCTCTTTTCCTGTCCCTTCCGAGGCCCTCTGTAAGATTCTGGCCTCTTTGTGCTGGGGCAGCTGAGCTGAGTCTTTCTAGTATCTCAGACTTCCAGCATGGAGTCTGAGGCTGGGCTCCTCACAGGTGGGCTCTAAACTCAGGAGAACGGGAAACATTTCCCTTGGGTCTGGGCTGTTGGTCTAAGCACCCCAGAATGTGTTGCTTAAATAACTCCATAGTAGTTATGGAGTATGGCAGGTATAGGTAGTGGGTGTCTGAGAAGGGAGCCGACTCAGCTCCAAATAGCTCCTTTTCTGCCCTCAATGGGCCACATTCCCAGACTGGTATTTTGGTTAGTGTGACAGGGCCCCAGAGTCATCTGGCCCTGGCACAAACCTCTGTCCTTCCCACCTCCAGGAGACAACTCCCCTATAAAAGGCCTAAGCAGCTCTGCTTCTCTTACTGGGGGCGTGAAGAACGGGGGGACCATGGATTTCATCAGCATTCGGCAGTTGGTGAGGATGTGCGCTTGTCGGGTAGAGGGCAGGGATGGCCGGACTGTCTGGGCAGAGTAAAGTCTGGCTGAGGACAGGCAGCTGCTTTCTGGGGTTTCAGGGTTAGGTTGTAGGAGCAAGATAGCATATGGATCTTTTTTTAAAAAAAGATTATGAACATATATTACTTGTATAGGGGTTTCATTGTGATATTTCTATATATGCTTACAATATACCTTGATTATATTCATCCTTACCATCCTCCCTCATCCCCCTCCCCATACTTCAAATGATTTTGACAGATTTCATTGTTCCATTTTCATACAAGTATATAAAGTACAGCAACCATATTCACCTTCCTTTAACCTCTCTATCCACCCTCCCCCTCAGCATGCTGTTCTGTCTTAGACTTTGCGGGGGTTCTCACCTGGGGTGGTGAAGGGGTCAGGAAGTAAAAGAAGAGAAGACAAATGGGAAAGAAGTTGGGTGGCGGTACACATGAAAATCCTTGAGTTTAGTGAGGGGTTCCCCCCACCTTTTTTTGTGTGTGTGGTGCTGGGGCTTCACACATACTAGGCACTGAGCCACCCCCCACCCCCGCAGAAGTTTGTTGAGTTTTCCTGTACTGCAATAGTGGAGGAAATGGGGAATGGCAGGGTACTTTGGAAATCACAGGTGTAGCTGGGGTGTACCTTTATTTCAAGCACAATAGTCCTTGTTCTGGAGATGTCCAGAGGGTCTGGCTGCTTTGGGGGGAGGGTGCCCTTGGTTTCTTGGGCCGTGAGAGAAACAGTGATGCCAGTGACACTTTGGGATATCAGTTTTGGTAAGCTGGGGCACAGAGGGTGTGAGTCCCTGCATGTTGCATTGTGACCAGTGGCCCCAGCTGGACTCAGTGTGTACAGCCCCTGCTGGGAACAGAACCTGGGGAGCATTAGGCTGCCAGAGCTGCTGATTCAGAAGGGAATACAATTTCACTTGGCCAGAAGCCCTAGGCTCTGTTACCTACTATTCCGATATTTCTCTCCCACAATCCATACCTTTCTCCATGCTTACCAGCTCGCAGGGTGGGTGCTAGGGTACTGGATATTGGCTGTGGCAGGCTCTGCCCCAAACACAGTCTCAGTAAGACACAATGATCACAGTACCTTTGATTTCAGTGCTAGTTTGAGTTTTTTGTTTTGTTTTGTTTTGTTTTTGGTACTGGGGGCTTGAACTCAGGGGCTACACTTTGAGCCACTCCACCAGCTTACTTTTGTGAAGGTTTTTTTCAAGATAGGGTCTCACGAACTATTTACTCAGGCTGGCTTCAAACCATAATCCTCCTGATCTCTGCCTCCTGAGTAGCTAAGATTACAGGCATGAGCCACCGGTGCCCAGCCTTAAGATCATTTTAAAGATGTAGAAAGAGCTTCTCCAAGAGACTGTTAACCCAGGGATTTAGAATTTTACCCAGAGGCATCTCTGCCCCTGAGCATGGGGTCAGGTGGCAGTGTGGGGTGATCTGGTAGGAATCTTGGGACAACAGTCCAGTAGGGACGCTAAGGTGTCACCTGCTCCAAGGCTCTAAGGCATAAGCCCAGCAATATAAATAGATGTTACATTCCCTCAACCCTGTGATATGCTGACAGAGCAGGGAAGGTGGTACATTTGGCCCCCTGGGTCTTGGCCATTGCTAGTTGGTGAGAACCACAGGTGTTGGCAGGGGGCCTAGCCTGCCAAGAACCTTTCAGAATGGTCAGGTGGATACTCAGGTCCAGAACACTAACCTGTGTACGTCAGCTCTTGTCAGCCACTATTTTCTAGGGGTTCCTCTAATCTCCCCCTCCCTTTTTTTGTAATACTGGGGTCTGAACTCAGGGCCTACACCTTGAGCCACTCCACCAGCCCTTTCTTGTGAAAGGGCTATCTTTTTCAAGATAGGGTTTGAGGACTGTTTGCCTGTGCTGGCTTCAAATCATGATCCTCCTGACCTCTGCCTCCTGAGTAGCTAGGATTATAGGCATGAGCAACCAGCACTCAGCCAATCTCCCTAATTCTTTATCCACATTCTGTCCTATAGGTAAGTGGAGAAAGTGTTGGAATGAAAGTGTTGGGGTTTGGAGGTGGAGTTCCTGATCCTGGAGGCTGGTCTAGTGACTGGAGGCTGGGACCCCAAGAGGCCATGGCCCGGGAGAAGTTCAAATTGGAAGAAGAGAAGAGGAAGAGGGTGAGTGATACTGGGGGGATGGGATGGCCATCTAATGTGGGCAGCTGTGAGCAATGAGGGCCCTAGAGCCCGTGGCCCAGCCTTAGGCAGCCTGAACAGCTGGGTATCTCCTCTGGGAAGGGCAAAGCAGGATTAGCCCAACAGGTACCTACCCCTGAGCGCAGTGGCTGATGGCTGGTGTGGGCCTGTCTTCTGCCCCTTTTTGCCCCAGTTGGAGAGATTTAATAGCTCCAGACTGAATCTGGAGAACCTGAAAGACTTGGAAAACTTGGTTCAAAGACGAAGAGAAAAGCGACTGAGACACAGAGTCCCCCTTAAAGAGGAACCTGAGCCCAAGGTTGAGGTGAGTAAGAAGGGGGTGGGAAGATGCAGACACCCAGGGCTGGAGTTGCAGAGACAGAACCTATGGGGTATTGGGGAAGAGTAGACACTGGGGCCACAATTACACAGCCAGTACCCAGGAAGCCACATAGAACCCATCCCAGAGCCTCATTTGGTTACTAGGGCAGCTATAACAAAGTACCATCCATTGGCAACTTAAACCACAGAAGTGGATTGTCTTACAGTTTGCCCAATTCCTTCAAGGGGTTGTGAAGGATCTACTCTCACAGCCGTCCCAGCTTTCTCATGGGTTCTGGCTGGTAGATGCACCCCCCCATCTCTGCCTTCTGGTTCATGTGATGTTCTCCTCGTGTGCCTGCTTTTGTCCAAATGTCCCTTGTTGTAAGGACATTGGTCATTCTGAATTAGGGCTCCCCTTAGCACAATTCATATTGGGAAGGGCCCACCATACTCCAGTATGACCTAATTATTACTAATTATATCTTCAAGGGCCCAATTTCCAAATAAGGTCAATTTCTGAGGTATTGGAGGATAGGTCATATGAATGTGGGGGGACATAAGTCAGTGCAGTACACAAACACAACTCCTATTCAGAATCTCCTCAAGTGAGATTGAACAAACTATACTCATACAGGCCAAGAGTGTGCTGGGCCTCAGTCAACTGCTTGGGAAGCACTGGGCCAGACTGGTGAAGATGTAGTAGTGAGCATGCGCACAAGCTTGAGGGGTGACCTGGCCTTTCTGCTCATCTAGCTACAACAGGCTCAGCTGGTGCCTGTGGACCTGGAGATGTTCCTGAAGGCAGCTGCTGAGAACCAGGAGGCCCTGATTGACAAGTATCTGACAGATGGAGGGGACCCCAATGCCCATGACAAGGTAGGTGCACTGGGCTGTGGCAGCCACAGCTGCCTGCATGCTGTCCTGTGTGCCCGTCCTGGCCTGGGGGTGCAGCAGTGCTTTTCTAGCATGGGCATGAATACGGGATGCATCCTGAGCTGGAAGGGAGGCCTTTCACCATCAGAAAGGGCAACTCTGGGGACCTACTTAGGGGACAGATGGGTAGGGCCTCTAGTGGCTGTGCTCCTGGCTTAATGTCCCATGTCCGCTGGCAGCTCCACCGTACAGCCTTGCACTGGGCCTGTCTGAAGGGTCACAGCCAGCTGGTGAACAAGCTGCTGGCAGCCGGTGCCACTGTGGATGCTCGGGACTTGGTAAGAACTGGGCAAGACCCTACCTGGTGGCTAATGCAGTGGCCAGCCCTCAGTCAGCTGCCCAGCCACCCACACGTCAGAGAGCTTTGGTCTTTTGTGTTACAGTTAGACAGGACACCTGTGTTCTGGGCCTGCCGCGGAGGACACCTGGACATCCTCAAACAGCTGCTTAACCAGGGAGCCCAGGTCAATGCACGGGACAAGGTGAGGGGACAAAGTGCCTGTCTTGGGTAGAAGCAGGTGAGCAGGGCACAGTGGAGCAGATGCTGGTGCTGCAGAAGAGATGTGGCCCTTAGGGGTTGAAAGGCACCGGCAGTTCAGACCCAGCACTGATCCCTGCTTCCTCCTAGATCTGGAGCACCCCTCTCCACGTGGCAGTGCGCATGGGCCGCTCTGACTGTCTGGAGCATCTCATCGAATGTGGAGCCCACCTGGACACACAGGATAAGGTGAGTGCTCCATCTCACCAGGGCAGTGACTGTAGAGCCAGAGGTACTGTCCACCCAGTGACAGCCCCTGCAGCCCTGACCTTCCTGCTGAGGACCCACAGGAGAGGGCAGGAACATGACCTCTCCGTCTCAACAGGAGGGAGACACAGCTCTCCATGAGGCTGTGCGGCATGGCCACTACAAAGCCATGAAGCTGCTGCTGCTCTATGGAGCCAAGTTGGGCATGCAGAACATGGTGAGTGCCACCTAGGTAAGGTGGTCGGGGGAGCACCTGGCAAGGGCAGACTGACCTGGTGTCCCTGTTCCCAGGCCTCCCTGACCCCAGTGCAGCTGGCACGAGACTGGCAGCGAGGTATCCGGGAAGCACTGCAGGCCCATGTTGGGCACTCCCGTACCCGGTGCTGACAACTCGGACCTGCGGGTCACTCACAACCACCATTCCATCCCCCTTACCTCCCCTGCAGCTGCACTGGTGTGGTTCTTGGCTCTCAGTACCAGTTCCCCCCGCAGGGCTTTGCTTCCTCCAAGTCTGCCCTATTGGAACTGAGCAGCACGGAGCCCAGCAGTTAAGAGAAAGCAGGCCTCTTGAGCTTTAGTGCTGAGGGGTGCTGTGTTCCCTACTAGGGCTGGGGCAGAGGATCCACAGGGTAGCAGAAAGCAACATGGGTCCAGATGAAAGTCAGTGAGTAGAGTAGCAGCCAAGGATGGAGACCTAGACCTGGCACTACCCAGGGCTGGGTGATAAACTTCCTCAGTGTCCACTAATTCTTAGCAGATTCACTTTTGTCCTCTACAAGGGCCAGTCTCCTGCAAAGTGATACAGATGTGGTTGGCAGTTGCATCCAAGACCTGTAAAGGGGAACCAAGTAGGCCACACAGGTGCCAGGCATTTTTGCAGCTGGCCACTGCCCTAGGCAGTTTCTCCAGGGGACTCCATTCCTGTCAGTGGCAACCCTGATAGCGTCTGGAAGGCTCTAGCCATCTCTGGTCTTCAGGACTCTGGAGGGGGTTCTGGCAGGCTGTGGGGCACATCAACAGATTTCAGGCCCCACAGAAACCAGTACCTACCAGGTTGCCTCAGAAGCCTAAGACTGTTGAGCTAGAGCTCATGTTTACCTTGAGGAAAACTGTGCTTGTTCTACTGAAGGGCTTCAGTCAGGCCAGCCTACCGCACTGCTGTTGGCTGGGTGGTGACTCTCCTTGTGGGGCTAGTGCCTGGGTGCTGGAGATTGCTTGTGGCCCACTCAACTCTTGGGGCGGTGGCCCGCAACCCTAGCTTGCCTTGATGGTTCAGTGCCCCCTAGTACTCAAGATGGGAGCTCTGGCCTGGCCCCCTGCATCTCATTCGGCTTGACCCCACCTCAGAGGCAGCATGCCGAGTTCTGAACTTGGCCCACAGGGACATAGGAAAAGTGAGGAGCATACCCCTCACATCTCTTGTCTGCTAACTGGTGGTATAATGAGGACCCCACTTCAAAACAAGCTCCCTCACACCTCTTTCCTGTTCCTCTGTTCATATGATTTCAGTTTCACTAGCGGAGACCCTGTACTGCTGGCAGGGCTGGCTCCTTAAATGCCAAAAAGTTGATTTTAAATAGCTCTGCCCTTAACTGAGACCACAGGCTGAGAGAAGGGTTATATGGTTTTGGTCTTGGATTACATAGGTACCTGGGTTGACGTCCATTTTTCAGCAATTATTTTTAGCCCACCTTTGGTGGATTCCTCAGGCCAATAAATCTACTTGTTACTATGTGAAAAAGCTGACTAGTGCTCCATCCCAGGGGCCATATACCTTTCCACAGGCAGTTCCTGCCTTGTGGTGACAGAGCCTGCATGCATCCAAACACTGGTGCCGTGGGCAATACAGGGCAATACAAGACTAGGACATTTATGTGACAAAATCCTTTTTATACAGATCAGTATTTTTTTCTCATTAAATTGGTTGAACATCCATCACAGCCTAGTTGTCTTTTTTGGGCTAGGAGGAGCCAGTGCTTTGGGCACCAAGGATTGCCTGGCAAGGTCCACGGCCTTATCATCCTCAACAGCAAAGCTCAAACCTATTAACCATGCCCGACAGCAAGTGCAGTGTGGGCTTTGCATGGAGTCTTAGCACATGGCCTGTGTTCAGAGCATTTCTACTCATTGATGGTTCTCAACCTTGGTTGCTTATTAGAATCACCAAGAGAGGTTTGAAAAGTCCTAATGTCTATACCATTAGGTTAAAGAAACTCCAGTATGGGACCCAAGTATTGGTAGAGGGCATGCTTATCTATGTATAGAGGAATTCTTCAGGTGGGAAAAACAACTACCTAGATAAGGGAGTCCAGCAAGATTTCAGGATACAGCATGAACATACAAAAATTATTTCTATCTAACAGCAATGAAGATACAGACACAAAAATTAAAAATATAGTACCATTTACAATTGTTTAGAAAACTGAAATACTTTGGTTTAAATCTAACAAAACATGTAAGGAATAAAATGAAATATTTAAGTGGAGAGACATACCATGTTCCTGGATTGGAAGGCCTAACACAATAAATATGTCAGTTCTCCCCAAACTGATATATAGGTTTAAAATAGTTCCTATCAAAATTCCAGCAAAGATTTTTAGTAGACATTATTCTGAAATTCCTAAGAACATTTACAGCCAAAACAATTTTGAAAAGTAAAAGTGGGAGGAGGAATCCGTCAGATTTCAAAACTTAATATATACTTACAGTAATATATGGTATTGGCACATAGATCAACAGTAGACAGCCCAAAAATAGGACCACATAAATATGCCCAGCTGACTTTTGACAAAGGTGCAAAAGCAATTCAGGGAATGGGAAGATGCCTTTTCAACAAATGTGTTAGACTAATTGGACATCTGTAGGCTTAAAGGAAAAAAAAAGACCAGGTATGATGTACATGCCTGTTACCCCAGTACTCAAGAGGATGAGACCAGCCTGAGCTAGTGAGGACCTCAAAAAAAGAAAAAAGGAGCAAATAAACTGTGACCTAATTCATACCTTATACAAAAGATTAATTCAAAACAGATCACAAGCTTAAATATAAAACTATCAAACTGCTAGGGAAAAAAGGAGACAACTTCTGGGGTCTAGTACTAGGTAGAGTTCTCAGATGGATGATAAAAGCACACTGCACAGGCCAAGAATTAGTGGCTCACTCCTGTAATCCTAGCTACTTGAGAGGCTGAGACTAGGAAGATCGTGGTTCAATGCTAGCCAGGCCAAATAGTTCACAAGACTCCATCTCTAAAGTAACCAGAGCAAAGTGGACTGGAGGTGTGGTTCAAGCAGTAGAGTGCCTGCTTTGCAAGCATGATGCCCTGGGTTCAAACCCGAGTCCGACTTAAAAGAAAAAAAAGCCCACTGCATAAAAGAAAAGTTGATAAAGTGGACTTCATCAAAACTTTTCTTCTGAGTAAAACCCTGCTGAGACAGGATGACAAAGCAAACTATATTGTGTTAAGTCACATTTCTGTTACTGTGACAAAATGCTTGAGATAATCAACCTAAAAGGAGGCAAGGTTTATTTTGGTTCCTAGTTTCAGTGCATAGTCCTTGGCTATTGTTTTTGGCCTTGAATATCATGGCAGAGTGCATGGCAAAAAAGGCCTGTTCATCTCATGGCAATCAGGAAGCAGAGAGGAATAGACGGGGGCCCCAGTACCCCATCCATGATCACATTGCAAATGACCCCACTAGGCCCCACCTCTAGAGCAGTGCAAGCTGGGGATCAAGTCTTTAACACATAGGTCTTTGGGGGACATTTCAAATATAAATTATACCACCTTGGATAAAGCCAAAATTCCAACAGAGGGCTTTAGCATTTAAAATATATGAGGATTTCTCAAAACAATAAAAACCAAATAATCCAATTAGGGAATAAGTAAAGGGCACAGATCAACATGTCACCAACATGAAAACACATGAACAGATGACAATGCCACCCACTGAGGAAGTGAAAATGAAGCCCAAGGAGGTAAAGCTGCAGACCTATCAGATAGCTAAAGTGAAACAGCAACACTACAAAATGATGAGGAAGATTTGGAAAAACTGATTATTTCTACATTGCTAGTACTAAGATTATAGTGGTACTCAAAAAGTTTGGCAGTTTAAAAAAAAAAAAAACAAAAAAACAACTAAACATGAGACGACCACATGACGTAGCAATTGCACTCCTAGCATTTATCTCAGAGATAAGAAAACTAATCTTTACAATGAAGCCTGTATGTGAATGTTCATAGCAGCTTTATTTGCAAAAGCCAAAACTGGAGATATCCTTTGCACAAAGTACACCATGGAATACCATTTGGCAATAAAAGAAATGAATCACTGACACACAGACCTGGATCAATCTCCAGAGAACTATGCTAAGTGAAAAAGTCAATTTGGAATGGTTACATATTGAATGACTCCACTTATACAACATCCTTGGAATGACAAAATAGAGATGAAGAACAGATTAGTGATTATCAGGGGTTAGGGATGGGGGCGTGGCTCTAACAGGGCAGTCCAAGGGGGATCCTGGTAGTGACAAGACAGGTCTAGATTGGCAGATCTCCACATGCCAAACTATGTAGAACTCCACAGCCATATTCCACCAATGTCAAAGTCCAGGTTTTGGTAAGGTATTATAATTCCATAAGGTATAACCACTGAGGAAAACTAAGTAAAAGGTGCATGGGAACTCTATCTTTGCAACTTTGTGTCAATCTGTAATTACTTAAAAAGGAAGGAACAAAAGTAACAGTTCTCAAAATAAAAAGGGAAGAATAAAAGCATTAGTTCTAAGTGCAACTTGGTATCCTAGACTGGATCCTACAACAGAAAAAGTACATTATTAGAAAAAAAAACAGGTAAAATTCAAATGAAGTCTGTAGTCAAGAGTATTGCACTAATGTTAATTTTTTAGTTTTGGTAAATGTACCAAGGTTATGTACAATGTTAACATTAAGGAGAGCTGGATGAAAGGTATATGAAACTCATCTGTGACTCTACAACTATTTCAAAACTAAAACCCTGGTGGCTCAGAATGACTAACTCAGAAACCCCACAAGTGGGCCCACTATCAACATTCTTAATTTGTTGGGTCAATCTGAAGTACAGCCAAGGTTCAGAACCACTGTTCTGGAGAGATGATTTCGAAGTACTTGTTTTCCACCTGGGCCTGTTCTCAGAGCATATTTCTTGAGAACAATTTCTCAGCAAACATACATTTTTTCTGTTTAATTGTTTTTGCCTTCAGTCCTATTAACAAGGACCAAAATTCCTTTAAGAAAGGGCCCAGAAATCCTCCTCTCTCCCTCCCTTCCCAATTTATGGTCCATGCCTCTGTGCCCCAGTTTATACACAGCTGAACTATGGATGGAAAATAAGGTAGACCACAAGAAAAAGACAAATGCTTTCTCATTCCCAGTTTTCTAAAACTGCCTCACTAGGAACAGAAAAAGAGAACATGAAATGTTTCAGAGATATAAGAAAACCTTAACTTTTTTAAGGAAAGGTGAAGATGCACCTGGTTCATAAACAAATCTTTTCTTCCCTTGCTCCCCATGCAAGTTATGGCCACACAACACCTCCTTGGAGGCCTACAAGAAAGGTACAAGATGGGTACAATAGGTAGTCACTCTCCCTGGAGTTGGACATTAGATGTAACAGAAAGATCCCTGCTTCCACATGTGACATCCTCTCAAAACACAGAAACAGGAAATACTATTAGAAGCAACTATGCACAGTGGGTGGGGAAAAAAAAAGAGCTGGCCCATGGGCCTTGTGGGGCAGGCCTCGGGACCACTGAGGGCCAGCTTGTTGCACATGACTCCAGAAGGGGTCAGAAAAGCTACCTCCATGGGAGGGAGCAGGACTAGGCACAGACTGCTGGGGAATCCTGCTTCTAGGTTTGGCAAATGGGAAAGGCTGTGGCACACAAATCAAAACATGGTGTTATAGGGAAGCCAGAAAGTACTAGAGACAAAGCCATAGATTTGAACACCCAGCCAAAACTACTGATCTCAGTTTGCTCAGGAAATGCTGCCAGCAACAGAGGATTGGCCAGTTAAAAGCAACATGAGCACAGGTCATGGCCACATAAGGGCAGTAATTGTGTACTCACATCGTGTCTGGCTCGAGGAGGTATAAATACACTGCACTATCATGGTGCCAGAGGAGAAGGAGCTGAGCCCTGGGGACTAGAGATGATGCTGTTCCTTTCATTCCTGGAGGGCTGTGCCCCACTGACCCCATCTCCAAAAGGAGGGCAGGGCCTGCTGAAGGCTCCTGAACCTGAAGCCCAGAACCCCATCCATAAAGGCCATCTAAAACGTGACCTGGAGGGGTGGGGATAGGCTGGAATGAAGCTACCACTCGGCTCCCTCCAGCTCCCCACATGCTTGTCTGTTCCCCAGTTCAGGGTTGCCCGGCAAGTAGTTAAACTCCTGGGTTTCGCCCAGGGCTTTCTTCCACTGGAATGCCAGACCTGCTGCTGTGGTTGGACCCTAGAAAAGAGAGGAAAAGGAGAATGAACATTGAAGCTGGTCAAAGAAGCAGCTCTAGCAAAACTAAGTGCTGAATCTTTAGGGCAGGTAAGGCAGATGGGCCTCAGGACATCTCAGAAAGTATCAAGGCAGAGCCAGGAGTGACTGGTTAGGAATGTGGCCATCCTAACTTGGTCTCACAAGAGAAAAGCATTCTATGAAGAGATGCCATCCATGAAGGATGAGGAACACAGAGGCTGTAGATTTCTGACCTGAGGGGGCCCAGGTCACTACAATGGAGAAGCCTGCCCTGGACAACCAAGTACCCTGTGCTGGAAAGCAGCTTTACTTTCCAAGGCTGAGCAGTTGTTTCATAACCCCTTCTGTCTTCCAGAAGAGTGAAATACAGCACCCAACCCCCACTCCAGGGAGAAACACCATCCAGCTTGAGGTGCCTTCAGCAGTGCCCACCAGTAGCTAAAGGGTGGAGAAATCAAAGAGGAAAGGAAAGGGAGATATATTTACCTTGGTGCTTTCTTAAAACAAAAAATGCTCACTAGTCCACAGTCATTTATCAACTGCAGTTTCCAAATGTGCCAAAGAGGGAAAGGTCTACTGGGAAGGCTAAAGAGAGCAAAGAGAAACAAAGAAGAAGAGACAAGCTATTGAGCAGCAATGGTGAGCCCCTCAGTTGTGCAACACCACGGGGGAGGCCGTGGAGGACTACGCACCACACAGGCACCGTAGTGCTGCTGATCAAGACCACAGAGGAAGTCACCAAGCCCAGTGTGCAGGGACTTTTCCTTTTAAAAGCAGGCCACATGGAGGACTTACTCAGAATTTGAATGGGAGGCCAGGGGTCAGAAAATTTTCAGTAAAAAGCTGTATTTTAGGTTTTGCAGGTCATTCAGGCTCTGTCACACCTATTCAACTCTACTGTTGTCACTCAGAGGTAGCCAGACACAATCCATAAACAAAAGTGTGGATGCCAATAAAACCTTATTTACAAGCACAGGCAACTGGCCAGCTCCAGCCTTTGCACCATAGCTTGCTGACCCACTGTAGGCAACTTAAAATTAATGCGCTTTCCAAGCATTTTAATATAGATACTTCTTTGCCAGGGATCTAGTGCCCAAGTCCCAAGACTCCGGGGCACAGTTCTTACCTGCACTATTTAAGCAGACCCCTACTAAAACCATCACAGCAGTAACACTAAGCTCTGTGAGCTAGTGAAATGCCAAACTAACAGGGATAAACACAGAAGACCCCAGAGAGTTCAGGCAAGGAGCAGAAAGATGGCAGGCAAGCCTCACTGGGAGCAAAAGTCAGATTGCACTTAGGTGAAAATAACCAACATTGTGCTGGATAATTCGTTACAAAGAGGAAATGATCCACAAAGCCACTATTTATTACTCTCTTAAAGAATGGCCCATTGAGCAACTGAAGCCAAGAGGATTTTTTTTTTAAATCTCTAGGGATTAGGGGCATAGCTCAGTGGTAGAGCACTTGCCTAGCAAGCATGAGGCCCTGGGTTCAATCCTCAGTAGTGCAGAAAAAACCCTGGGGTCAATTCCCAGCCCTGCAAAAAAAAAATTCTTTTGAGTGTGTAGCGACTCACATAATGAAGCCATCATTCCCAACTTAGGTTTGTATCTTGAATATAGCATGTGCAGTATAAGTAGCAGATGGAGCCAGAAAATTCTGGCTCACATATAAGAAAATCAAAACTAAATGACTTTCATTTTAAAGTATCTTGGCAAAGCTAATGTGATGGTGTGGATGTGAATTTCTGTACAGGGATGCACTATAGTGGGTAAACAGTTGAATCAACCCTAAGGTACAGCCCATCTAAGAAGACAGTCCTTTAGAAAGGCAGGTGACCCATGCCCAGAGCCAGCACTTAAGGAGCACGGCCTCACCTGCTGTCCCCTTTTACCAACACCCAGGGCTGGAGCCCACATGAGCTGAGCCATCACCATGACTCATGGTAAAGGGTCTCTGCACCTATGTGTCACCTCATGATTCAGAAAGACATTCCTACTATAAAAACACATTTGTGGGGGGAGGGGGGAGGAAGGGGAAGATAAGGGAAAATGATGGAGGGGGTGAATTCAAGTATGATATATTTGATATAAGAACTTTTGTAAATGCCACAATGTACCTCCACCCAGCACAATAAAAAAACAAACAAAAAAACCACATTTGTGTTCTCAAGGGTGGGTCTAAGTGACCAGAGCAACAAGTCTCAGAGAGGCTGTCCACGCCTGGCCCTCTGACTCCCATTCCTCATATGTAAGATGGGCCCAGCAACTCCTACCTCCCAGGACTACGTTCACCAAGTAAAGACAAGGATGAGCTCTTAGCATGGTGCCTGTAGAGTAAGTGCTCTGTCGTAGCTCATCTCTCTCAAGTGTCAGGGTGGGGTGAAAAAGCAGCCTGCATGCCTCCCACATCCGCCAGAAACCCCAGCCTGGCAATCTCCAACCTCACCCAAAGGCTCAACCAGATTGAAAAACTACAACAGAAATCTGGGTTTTCCACCACTCTGATCTTGCCCACATCCCACAGACTCCACACTGCAACCCCACTGTACAGTGCAAAGTTTGTCTCCAAACATGGCCTTTCTGCTCACACTGGAGGCTGATGGGACAGGCCTTCGCCACTGGATCATGTAAATGCTTTTCTGAGCCAGATCCACAGGTGACCCAAATCTTCTTTCTCCAAGTGACCTAACCTCAATCCTTATCAGCCAGAAGTGTTTGAACTTGACATTTTCCCACTTAACAACTACTCTAATTAAGTCAACTCACTCTAAGAGGCCCTCAAGAGAAAATGCTAACTTGGTGTGCTCTACTTTAGTTGGTCTACAGCTTGGAGTCATCTAAGCTACTAAAAACAGCAAGAAGGGGAAAGGATGGGGAGAGAAACAGGAGGATGCAGAGCAAGGAAGAACAGTAAACATGTATGTGTTCAAACAGTAAGATGTGGCACAGATCACGTGCCCTCTGGGTCCCGACATTGCAAGACACGCCACATGGAGCTTACCTCCTGCTGCAGCAGACTTGTCACTGAGGAGCCTGGTCTGGCTGCCCGGGATGGCCTGGAAGTCAGCATTCTCAGGGGATGGCGGCAGGCTCTGAGCTCGGGTAGCCAGGAGTGCATTGAGGTACTGCAGCCGTGTAACCTGAAGGGCAGAGGTGTTACCCAGCAGGTGCGATTTGTGAAGCAGATTCAGCTAGTTAGGCACAAGGGCTCACACTTCTGAACTGCACTACATGAGGACAATGTCAAAGGCAGAACTTTAAGCTAGGGCAGAGAGCTATGAAGTCAAGTGTTCTTAAGACGTCTGACAGAGACCACATACAAGGCCTGTAGACAGGTCTAGAACACAGTGATCCAGGGATATCCAAGGAGCTGAGCTCCATCACCTTGGAGAGTCACTCAGTTTGCACTCCATCCACACACCATGACCAGCTGGACTAGCCCCTTGGGGACACAAAGACAGTTAAAACCAGCAACAATGAGCAGCCCAAGTGGTCACCTTAATTAGCTGCAGGTCAGAAAGGGCCCGCACGGTGTAGTCAGGACAGTATGTAGAGGAGCGGGTGCTGTCAGCTGGCTCGGGCTGCAGGTCATGACGGATGGGCTGGCATGAGGACACTGGGGACTGGTGAACTAAGGAAAGGATTAATCAGTGGTAGTAGAATCCAATGGGATTAGATGTGCACAGCCTCTAAGGCCCACCCCCTAAATCACCCTTGAGGGAACAGGTGGGAACTCAGAAGAGGGTAAAGGACACATTTGGGGAAGGTTTACAGGGATGTTGAGGGCCACCAAGATGAGTGAGGAAGAAATGCTGTCACACCCTCCACACCACCCAGAGACAACCCCAAGAGAGAGGCACAGGCTCTCAGGGGAGGCTAGAGTCCTGGGCACTGAGAGCCAAAGCAGCAACCAGAGTGGTAGCGTTAGCTCTACAGGCCATGACCTCTGCCCCAAACTCCAACAAGGGACACGGCTCACCAGAGGATGGTGCTGTTAGAGCAGACACTCCATAGTAGGTGAAGGCCCCATTTTCAAACTTCAGACCCTCCTTCCCGATCTCCACCTCGACCCTGCCCTGGGAGGGGCAGGAGACAAACAGAGGTGGGTAGATTATCTTTCCTGCCAGAAGAGAGCACACAGGATATGTGCTCCAATTATTCAGGGGTGGATATCTGCATGGCTCTCCCCCCACCTCTTCTCATGTACTCTTTCCAAGTTTCTGAGGTAGTGGGAGGCTCCAGGCCTGGAATGCCATGGTTACCTGCAGGATGAGAATGAAGTAGTCCACTGGCTGGCTGCGCTGGTACAGGTAATGGTGTGCAGCCAGGCGGTTGCTCTCATCAAATTTCACCTCTTGGTTGACACTGGGATGCTTCAGCAGATGCAGCAAGACCTTTTCAGAGATTCGCAGTGGGCTGAACACATCCACCTCTGCCCCATGGTGGGAGAAAGGACAGTGTCTACTGGAGCCCAAGTGGTCTGTCACCACACCTGACTCTTGTCACCCTTCTGGGCTCTTCCCAGTGGCCCCTGAGCTGCTATACTCCACATGAGAAAAATGGGCACACCATACGGGCCAGCTGAGGCTCCCTGGCCATGGCTCATCAAGGGGCACCAGCCTGGCTCTGCTCTTGGCCACGTGGGCCACACTTCAGGAGACCTAAAATGCTGATAGGGCTACAGAAGGAAGCAGAGACACACACTCTCTTCTGTGCCTTCTGCTCACCAGGACAGGGACAGAGTCAATGTCTGACCTGGGTGGTCTCCTGATCAACTATGCTGAGACAGAAAGCAGGGGCAAGGACCACCCTTTACCCTCACCTCGGGAAAGGAAGCGCTGGGTGGCCAGGAGCAGCTGAGGCGAAATTTTTACTTTATATTCATCAGACACCTTGAACAAGGAGAATTCCTCCTTCCGCTTCAGAGGGGTGTTCAGGCAAACAGTCCTCTTCCTCACTGTGGTGGCTCCTGAGATGGTGAGATGCCATGCATGGACATCAGCAACCACTCCAATGAATATAACCAAAGCAAGCAAGCCCTGTTGCATGCTTCTTCCTCCCAGGGCCTAGGGATTCAGGAGAGACATCACCAGAGCCCCCCAGCTCCCATTCCCTACAGAAATCCTGGTTCCCAGAACAGAGGGGACAACAGCCCACATTTCAGATATGCATAAGGAAGTCCAGCTTCCTTCTTTAGAGAAGGGAAGAGAATGCTGATATAAACACAGTGGTTTACATAAAACATCTGGCCTTCTCAGAGACCTGGAAGTCTCCCTCACTGCCAAGTGCATACTTGAGGGTCACCATGGCAAATGGCAGCAACTAACCCAGTAACTCTGTGAGAGTCTCAGGAACTGAAAAATATGCTGTGCTTTGTAACAGACATGTAGGCTAAGTGATACATTTGAAAGCACAAAGAAGTAGCAATTCAAGGTCTCAAGTGGCCACGTGAGGCCCCAGCCATTAAGCAAGGCTATGCCTGCTCTGTGGACTTCAGCCATTATCCTGAGAGAAGGAAGACACAATCAAGGTTCCCCAGGTTTCTTTCTTTTCTTTTTAAATTAGTGCTGGGATCAAATCCAGGGAGTCACACATGCTAGGAAACTGCTCTTACCACTGAGCTATACCCCAAGCCCAAAGAATGGGTTGTTTAAAAAGACACTTCTGGTTGGGCACTAGTGGCTCATGCCTGTAATCCTAGCTACTCAGGAGGAAGAGATCAGGAGGATTGTGGTTCAAAGCCAGCCTAGGCAAATGGTTCAAGAAACCCTATCTGGAAAAAAACCATCACAAAAAGGGCTGGTGGAGTGGCACAAGGTGTAGGCCCTGAGTTTAAGCCTCAGTACCAGAAAAAAAAAAAGACAGTTCTGTAGTACACAAAAGAACCTGAGCCAGCAAAGGCACCAAGAAAGACAGAAGAATGGGATAGGACCAAGAATGACAGAGCCCTCTCCCAGGGACGAGAATAACTGCTAATGGAGCCCCAAGCTCCAACACCACATGCCACGGCTTGCATGGAAATGCAAGAGGAACTCTGCTGCAAGGGGGCAATACTGGCCCATGCAAGGGTAGGGAGAATGAAGCCTGGCTGGGAAGACCCACTGGCCTCAGGTACACGTGTCTCAGGATGCCTGAAGGACCAGCTGAGGCAGAAAATGGTTGGGAGTCAACTCACGGCAGTCTTCAGACTCATCCAGGATCTCAGACCTGATGATTTCCTCAATGACATCCTCCAGGGTGACCAGGCCCAACACCTCATAGAAGGGGTCACCCTCACCCTCGTTGTTCACCTTCTGCACGATGGCCAGGTGAGACTTCCCTGTGTGGAGAGACACTCATTTATAACTTGTAGGGGCTTGTCATGTTTCTTAAGTCTTTCCTGGTACAAGCCCACCACAAGGACAGAAGCTAAAATTTGTGCCAGGTGCTAGGTCAGATGCTTCCCTATGTTCTTAAGACTCTCAACATGCTGAGGGATCTCAGAGACCATGCTCATCCACAGGAGGACCCTCACATTGTGCAGCAGAGCTGGGACTTAACCTGTGACTCCAAGCCATGGATGCGTCTTAGGCAAGGTACACGTAGTCTAGAACATGTACCTTAAATAGCAACTGCAGCTTTGTGGGCACTGATTCCAGAAACACAGGTTCCCCTGGGACAATCTAAGTGAGTGTGTGCATGTGCACACACACTCACACACACAGTGGGGTGGGAGTGTTGACAGCCAGAGGGTACGTTTTCCTAAATTTTTTATTTTTGGGGTTTTTTTGTTTGTTTGTTTGTTTGTTTTGAGATAGTCTCTCCCTATGTAGCCCAGTCTGGCTTGGCACTTACAAGCCTGCCTCAGTTTCCCAAGTATTAGGATACAGGTGTACATTATCATGCCTGGCAGGTTTTTCTTTTCTTTTTGGTGGGAGTGGGGTTGAACTCAGAGCTTTGAGCTTGTAGGCACTCTACCGCTTGAGCCACACCTACAGTCACCTCTTTTAGGCAGGTGCTTTAAGGTTTTCCTAATTCTTAAAGCTACCCTTTTGGGGGTTGTCCAGGAGATGGAGATGTGGGAAAGGGCCATTTGGAATCCAAACTGCAGGGAGAAAGAAACTCAGGTTGGAACTTTCCTCCTTGCTCCTATGTGTCTTTGTCATGTCAGCTTTCTAGTTGGGTTTCTATAGTAAGGGCTTGCAAGCTTGAAAAAAGCCCAAGTCTCAGGGGCAGGGGACAGGGAGGAGAAATGAGCTACACCCAGGTCTCGCTTATGAAAGATGAGGCAAGGAGAGCACCTACCAGAGCCTACCTAAGCACATGGCTGCACTCAACATAGGATGAAAGGCATGCAGCTTTCCTGCAAAAAGATGACTGTCCAGGGGCTCAACTGAGTACCTCCCATGTGGACCTGGGGCCAGGAGACCTCCCAGCTGCCAGAAGATCAGAGGGTTTTACTCACTTCACCACCTCCCATCATGCAGCCTTTAGGATCAACTCTGCTCAGAGACCTGAGGTGCACCTACCACCATCTTGTAGGAGTTCAGGTGTGAGAAGAATGGCTGGTGATCAAAGAACACCACATTCTAGAAAGCACTCTCAGGATGAGTATGGAGAGGACTGCAGAGGAAGCAATGCCTTAACATCTGCATGGTCTCTCTTAATAGTTGCTCAGATACAGGTGGGTGCAGTGGTTCACACCATAATCCTAGCTACTTGGGAAGTGGAGATTGGGAGGATTACAGTTTGAAGCCATCCCAGGGCAAAAAGTTGACAAAACCCTCCCCATCTTAAACAATGCCTAGGCACTGTGGTGCATGCCTAACATCCCAGCTACCTGGGAAGCATAAATAGGAGAATGAAGGTCCAGGCCCACCCAGACATAAATCGAAACCCTATCTCAAAAGCAGCCAAAGCAAAAAGGGCTGGGGGCATGGCTCAAGTGGCAGAGCACCTGCCTAGTGAAGCAGAGGCTCTGAGTTCAACTCCTAGTACTGCCAAAAAAAAAAAAAAAAGGTTGCTCAAACTAGTGAAAGGAGATGGTGAGTAAAAATGTGGAGCTAAGGGAGAACCTAAGAGAGACCTTACTTAATGTCAGAAAAGGGGAGACTGGGAGTGGGACCCAGTGGTAGAGCACTCACCTTGGCAGGCCCTAGCTTTGATCCCTAACACTGGGGAAAAACATTAATTAAAAATCAGAGATTACAGAGGGAAAAAAAATAAATCAGCACTCATGACGTCGCTTTCAGGGAAATCAATGTGAAAGTTTCCTCAATACCTGCAGGGAAGAATTACGAGTCATTCCCTAGTCTGCAAGCAGGAAGCATCACAGGTCCAGCTAATTTGACATCAAATGTGTTTAGGTAACAGCCATCTAGACACCACCTTTTCTATGTCCTTTTAGTTACTATCCAAGAGTTTTGGTCCGCTGCAAAGCCCAAGTGCACAGAAATGGCCTGGGAGAGGGAAAGCCTTGTGGTGGTCATACTGTCTCCCAAATGGGGGGAAAACTATTCTGAAGGAGGAGAAGTGCATTAAGAAAGTGTGTTGGCTTTCTTTTTCTCTTCTCTGTATTTTGTTCTGTTTTGATTTTTGAGACAGTAGCCCAGTATGGCCTCGAAATCAAAATCCTCCTGCCTCCATCTCCCTGTGCTGGGCCTACAAGCGTGTGCAAGGTGTTCGCTTTCTACGACACTGCATCCCTCTCTGAACGACACTTCTGGGAAGGAGGAAGTCTCACTGCTTTCCACTAGGGTTGGACCCTATCCTCGAGGGGTTTCATGCACGATTTCTAGTCCTTACCTTTTTTGAACTCTTCCAGGACGGCATCCAGCTTGGTATCGTTGAAGACGAAGTGGAGTGGGTGGTTGTAGAAGCGGGTGATGGTGCTGAGCGGTGTGCAGTCTTCGGGGTCCACGAAGACCAAGTCCTTGAGGTAAAGCATATCCACGATGTTGGAGCGCTCCTCCTCGTACACAGGAATGCGCGTGTAACCGCTCTGCATGATGCTGGCCAGGACACCGAAGTCCAGCACCGCGCTGGCGTCCAGCATGAAGCAGTCTTGAAGAGGCGTGAGCACGTCCTCCACCGTCCGGTAACGCAGCACACCCTTGCTGAGGTCGCTGTAGGGGTCGCCGCCGCCGCGCGCCAGCTCCAGCACACGCTCGCGTAGCCGCCCAGGCCGTGCCGCTAGCTCCAGCAGCTGCCCCACGGGCAGCGCCACGGGCAGAGTGAGTAGCACCGCCAGACGGCTGAGGCCGAGCGCGTGGGGTGCCAACGCCAACGCCCAGCGCCCACTCACGGCCGCCGGCAACACCTCGCCCACCAGAAACACGAGCCCTGCACAGCCCAGCACAGCGGGCACGGTCCGCTGGCCGGCCGCGCGGTACAGCAGCACCGCCAGCGCCGCCTGCGCCAGGCTGGCCAGCAACAGCAGCGCTCCCAGAGCACAGCCTGCCCAGCGCCGAGAGGGCTCCAGGCGCCGGGCTGCCGCACGCTCCGCCTCCGAGCCGCTCTCGCGCAGCACCTGCACCTCGGCGGGCGCCAGCGCCAGCGCGCTTAGTTGCAGGCCGCGCGCCAGCGCCGCCAGCGCCAGCAGCCCGGCCGCCCCCAGGCCCAGCGCCCAGGGCGGCGCCGCCTCCTCCGCCGCTCCGCCGCCCGGCTCCACGCGCACAGCCAACAGCGCAGAGTGCGGGCGCCCGACCTCCACGCGCAGGCGCAGCAGCGCGCGCCATTCACCCGTGGGGGTCACCGCCTCCCCGGCCGCCGCGCCCATCCCGCCCTCGGGGCAGCCTGCCCCCTCGGGGGCCACCCAGGTCCAAGAGCTGTTGGTGAAGCCCGAGCCAAAGAGACGCAGGCGGAAGGTGGCCTCCCGTGCGGCTCCTGCGCGCACCAACCCTGCACCCGCCGCCCCGTCCTCCTCCAGGCAGAAGCCCAGCAGTCGCGGGCCGGGTGCTGCCTCCCCCGCGGCGTTGCCCAGGCAGAGCGCGGCGAGCACCCAGCCTAGCTGACCTGCCGCAGCTGCCGCCGCCGCCGCCGCCATCGCCTGCTGCCCCCTCTCGGCTTCTCGCGCAGCCTACCCCGCTCTCCCCGCGCCCCCGCCCCCGCCTTCCTCGGCCAATGGCCGCTGGCCTTTGGGCCCCTTTGGCCAATAGGCGGCGGACGAGGGCGGGCCCCGGGGGTCGGGCTAGGCTGCGCCGGGGAGTAAACAAGCGGCGCGGGGTGGGCCAGCGGCGTGGGTCTCTCTGCGGGCCTGGCCAGCGGTGGCTTCCTAGGCTTAGGGGTGGTGGACGGTCGAGGACGCGGAGCGGTGATCTGGACCGAGTACGGCGAGCCGAGCCTCCGACTGCGCGAGGCCGCGCCCGTGCGCCCAAGGCCCGGCCAGCGCCCTGGGAAGTGCTTGGGCTCTAAAACTAATCATGGGTTCCCGCGCGCCTGAAGTTGCACACGGGGAGATGTAAGTGTATGGAACGCGCGCAGTTTTCTCAGAAAAGGGCCCCGGGAACCGGGAAGGTTTTGAATCCGCTGACCTGAAGGATCGGGGAACCTAACTCTTGTATTAGGTCTGGGAACGTCAAGACACAGTTGTCCCATACCTTCAAGGAACTTGTGGTCCCTCCGGGGAGACCCATAGTAAATACAGAAACAAAATCACAGCTTCAATGGATCCTCGCAGCTACTTCATATAATTAATGTCTTACAGGAGAAAAGTGAAGCTCACAGGCTCAGCGTGGATATTGGGTTCCAACGTGACCTAAACTCCCTGGTCACATCCCAGCCATGCAGGGAGGCAGCAGCTCAGTCAGAGTTTCTGGGTCTGCTAGTAGCACTCGCACAGTTCCTCAGCACCAATGAGAGCTGTTCAAGAGGAGTTCTCACTGTCCTTATTTTAGAAGATAATTTGGTCTGTCGACAGTGTGAAATGTTCTTTACCCATAGTACAGGGTCTTTATGGGATTGGAAGGAAACAAACTGCTAACAAGACTTCCCTTAGGGGGTCCAGATTACATAGTTTTGCATTTTCCTCTACACTTCTAGGTTTTTCAAACTTCTAGTGTATGTAGACTTTGATAAGACTTAAGACACATGTTATTTAAATGATCTTTAGGGCTGGAGGTGTGCCTCAAGTGATAGAGCATCTGCCTATCAAGTGCAAGGCCCTGAGTTCAAGCCCCAATACCACCAAAGGAAAATAAATGATCTTTAAAGGATTCTACAGAAACAACTTAGGTCCTAAAAATATCATCCTAAAAGCTATGTGCAGTATGGTCACAACTCATGTTTGTGTGGAAAGGAATGTGCAAAACCAAGCCCACAGTAAATGACCAAAGAGATAGTAAGAAGCCAAGCATGGTGGTACACACTTGTAATCCCAGCTACTCAGGAGGCAGAAGCAGGAGGATCACAAATTCCAGGCCAGGCCAGGCAAAAGTCAGCAAGACCTTATCTCAAAAACAAAGCAATAAAAAGGGGACCAGGGGAATTGCTCAAAGGGGGTCAATCCCCAGAACCACAAAAAAAAAAAGAAAGTATCTCTTCTACATTGTAGACTTAGAACTAGTCCAAGTGCACCCCCATGTTCTCTAGTTTTTATCTGGACGGTACTAAATGCCCTACAAGTAGTTTGCCTCACCTCTCTACAAAACAAGTCACCAGGAGAAGCAATAATGACAAGACTACGGGTTTGCACAGGATTGTCTTGCCTCCTCTGAAGGAAAAAAATGTGCAGGCATTATACTAGATTCAGCCCATTCAGTTCTCAATTTTTTGTCTCCAAATCAAGGTAAAATTCTGACATTGAGATAGAAATGAGTCATGTACCTGAAGTCATTAAGTAGCAAAGAACAGTTCCAGAGGAAAGGAAGAGCTCCCTGTGATTTGGAGACCAGGTGCTCACCTTTGACAAGTTACTTTCTTCCTTGGTCTCAGGCGCCCCTGGAAAACAATTTATAACTGAATTTTTGAGGGGGGAAACTTCAGGTGGATAAAACGTGGAAAACAGTTAGGCATAGTGGCTACCCCCTGTAATCCCAACTACATAGGGTCTGAGGACCAGATAAAAACCAAGAGACCCTATCTAAAAAATAATTTAAATGAAAAGGCTAGGGGCATGGCTCAAGTGCTAGAGGACCTGGCCAGCAAAGGCAAGGCCCTGAGTTCAAACCCCAGTAATGCCAAAAAGAGAAAAATAAAATGAAATAAATCCTCAATATCCAAAATCACAAAGAATCCAGGACTGGGCAAACAAAAAGTTGCTCACAGAGCCCTTTTCTGTTGAGAGGACTCACAGATATTTCACCAGTTTCTTTCTTTTCTGTGTCATTGTTTGACCCACATCTTGTAAATAACAGCTTTGATGGAGACAACACTTGACCTTCAGGTGCCTCATGGGCCATTTTTCTTACTGGTTATTTAGATCAAGACATTTCTACTTTAAAAATTTTTTTTGAACTTTTCTTTTTATGGTGGAACTAGGGTTTGAACTCACGGCTTCGTGCTTGCAAAGCAGGTGCTCTACCACTTGAACCACACCTGCAGTCCATTTTGCTGTCATTATTTTCGGGATGGGGTATCATAAATTATCGGCCTTAAACCATGATCCTCCTGATCTCAGCCTCCCAAGTAGCTAGGATCACAGGCATGAGCCACCAGTGTTTGGCTCAGGACAATTCTACTTCTTAAAATTTTTTGTTGTTTTAGTACTGGGGATTGAACCCTGGACCTCACACATACTAGGTAAGGGCTCTAGCACTTGAGCTATTCCCAGCCCCTTTTTAAAAACTCTTTGTTTGCTTTTTGGGTGGTACTGTGGTTTAAAGTCATGCTCGCTAGGCAGGTGCTTTACCATTTGAGCCATATCCACAGCCCTTTATCTTGTTTTTGAGATACAGTCTCCATTAACTTTGCCAGGGCTGACCTCCAACTTGTGAGCCTCCTGCCTCTGCCTCCAACTAGTTGGAACTATAGGCACGAATCATCACAATTGGCTTAAGTATTTATTCTTGAGTTTAAAACTCATAGCTACTATAGGACAAGGTGGCGCTTGCCTATAATACAAGAACTCAGGAGACTGAGGCAGGAGGGTGGAGTGTTCAAGGAAAGCCTGGGCTACACAAAGAGACCCTATCTCAGAAAACAAAACAACAAAAAACTTCATAGCTACTGTAATCTGAGCAGTCAGATGGCTGAGGCAGGATGATTGCTAGTTAAGAAGCCAGCCTGGCTACAAAGTAAGATACTGTCTCAGCAAAAAAAGTTTCACAGCTATTGGGTCTAACCTCATAGGCTAACTCCTGGTTATTTATTTCTCAAATCTTAGCTCAGATGTGATCTTCCCTGACTATCTTGACTAAGTTGGGTCAAAGTTATGGGAGCCATATACTCCCCCCACAGTATCTAGTACTTACCTTACTGTAAGAGTTTCTTTCACTCATTCATTCATTGTAAGTCAGGTGCCAGTGGCTCATGCCTATAATCCTAGCTACTTAGGAGGCTGAGATTGAGAGGACAGTGATTTGAGGCCAGCCCAGGGAAATAGTTCAAGAGACTCCATCTCCAAAATAACCAGAGCAAAATGAACTGGAGGCATGGCTCAACTGGTAAAGCACTTGCTTTTCAAGTGTGAAGTCCTAAATTCAACCCCCAGTTCCACAAAAAAAAAGAAAGAAAAAGTCATTCATTTGTTAATTTCCTGCAGTGAATGCTTCCGATGTACTGGTACTGTTTTAATGCTGGGATTACAGTGGGAATAAGATGAAATCCCTCCCCTTATGGAGTTTAGATTCTAATGTTGGGACAACAGAAAATATACAGGTCTTATTTTTATATCTAGCAATAAGTGCTAGAAAGAAAAGGCAAGATAAGGAGACACAAGTTGTTTGAGATGGGGTAATCAGGGAAGCCTCTGTAAGGAAGTAACAATTGTTTTTTTGCCTTGAACTCAGGGCTTCACAAATGTTAGGCAAGTACTATATCACTAAGCTACCCACCCAGCCTAGGAGGTGACATTTGAACGGAGGTTTAAATGAAATGAGGAGTGAGCCTCACAGACTTGGGAGAAGTGTCCCAGGATGAGACAGTGAGTGGAAAGGCTGGTGTGACTGTCTTCCTCAGGGGACCTTCCTCACTGAACTCACTGAGGGGTGGTAGCAGCTGACATTAGAGTATGGATGGCTCTAAGCATGGCCCATTCTTCAAATGCCCCAGTTTGTCAGCTGTTAAGCTTTGCTTGCTTGAGCCCCTGGCCTTGACGCATTGGACTGCACACACCAGCCTACAGCACAATGCACACCATATAGGATTCTACAGCTGCAGTTCTAAGAGCAGATGCAGCGAGGTAATCCTATCAGGCTTTTTCAGGGGGCAGACTCTTAACTCTGAAACCACACCTACCATCAATATGGACAAAAAGGCAACTGCATGTTGTAAACAACACCGTCATATATTAGTATTAGATCAAGCTTGTCCATCCCTCAGCCCCCAGAGAGAAAGGAGGGAAAGCCTGCTTAACCCAGCTGATCTCCCAGCATCAACAGTCAGAACCCCTATGGTGTCCAATACACAGGACTCCTGCTGTGTATTGCACTCCACATGTGCCCTGCATGTCTGCCAGCAGCTGATACTCACCAACTCCTGTGACAACAGCCTTGATTATATGTTATTTTGTAAATTATAATTCTGCTTGAGTTTTACTGCTAAACAGTCCTAGAATACTTTATTGCCCGTTGCCCTGTCACAAGTAGCAGTTAACCAGCCACTTCTATCTCTACCACAGATGTTAAATGTGGACAGAAGTGAAACATGCAAACGATATACTCACTAAGACTTATACATATTTCATTTTTTATTACCAATCAAAAATAAATTCCATATATTGTTTAGCAAATATTATCATTGTTTTGTGACAAAAGACAGAGTCATAACAACAAAACTCCCGAGAGTCAAACTCATAACAATGCCAAAATAAATCACAAAAATATACAAATTAAAATCTTATGCAAAATAAATAGGAGTTGTTTGCTATGGTGGCTGTGACTTGCCTACCCATTTGGATGCCATTTGCCAAGTGTCCCTGTCCGAAGACATGCAGAGTGGGCTAGTTCCAGGGTATGGCTCAGCCCCGGAACCAGAGGTTGGAATAGGAAGTGAGAAATTGCACTGGGAGGAGGAAGTCATTGGACCGGTAATATTTGGAAATAATCAAGACCCTCTGCAAGAAGTGATTATAAATGGGGAGGGGGAGAGGGACCATCTGTTGGTAGAAACTGTGTGCAAAGAGGTAGCTGTGGAAGTGTATGCACCTGCTCCTTTTGCTTCACACCCACTCATGTGGGCTCAGGCCAACATGTTTTGCTCCACCTGACACTCAGGTCTCCTGGAAACACGATTGGGCCAGCTCCTGTGAGGACTCAGGAACAAGCTATTCTTGTAGAAAACTAAGGATTTCCTATGGGGTCAAAGGACTCATGGCTTTTTTCCTTATAGTTGAGAACCCACAGGCATGACAGCCTTCTCCAGGCTTCTAGGAGTAAATTCTGTGAGCGGGGAAGACCTCAGACTGGCGGAGGGCAGGTATACTTGGTGCAAGCCACCCCATGGTCCCAGAAGTTAGGATTCTCTGGGCACCTGGAGAGCAGAGCACTTGGGGGTGACAGGACTCCGCTGGCTGAGGAAAGGAGTGAATAAATACCACTCAGGCGAAAGGCCTGCAGTCTCCCCTTCCTGCACCCCAGCCTCTATTCTTCCCAACAGAAGGGTAGACATGGCCCTCAGTCCCACAGTGGAAGCCTAGAACTCTGCAACACGGCCTGATTCCATCCAGAGAAAGGGCACTGGGGCAGGATTTAACATGGGTGGGGGGCTGTCAGGCAGTACCATGGGCTGCAGTGAGGCTGGCTGAGCCCTTCACTAGGGTCACGCAGGCACGGGCAGCTGGGGCTGCCAATGGCACGTCTTAAGGTGGACCCTTCTTTCCTGGGGTTCCTTTTTGGGTGAATGAGGTCAGGGGAACCTCAGCCAGAAGCAAAGGAAAGGGTATAAAAAATAACAAACCTCCCCCCCCCAAAAAAAAGGCTATCTGGCTTTCAACATGTCCTCTTGTCCCCAGCCCCCAGAGGGACAGGGGTATAGAAATGAGGAGTAGGGAGTCTGGGTAAAAGGCTTCCTGAGTCAAGTGAGCCTTACTCCTTATGGGTAAGGGTGGGTGGTTGTAACTACTAACAACACAAATGCCTGTGATCACAGTCTTCCTAGAACTGAAAGGAGTACCCAGACAAGTTATCTCTAATACAAATGCCCTCGCCCCCAAGGGGAAACCTTTGGTAAAAGTGAGGGCAGGGCCTGGGGAGCAGGTAAGCAAACACCCTGCATAACACTTTGAGTCCACCCAGTTACAAGTGGGGAAGTTGTCCGAAGCGGTATACAGGAGGCAGCAGGGAGGGTCCTCAGCCAAGCCCCAACTTACCAGAAGAGCCATCAGATAAGAGTTCCAGGAGACGGCTGGATTCAGCTGCTGACAGGAGTAGATGAGCTTCTCTCTGTCGCTGAGGTTGTCACGTCCCTGATGACAGTCACCCAGTGCTCACAGCCTAGTGATTTCTTGGTGCACATGTCCAGGTAGATGATCTCAATACCATTTGATTCCTTGCTTCCTGGGAAGAGGTATCTTCCTCCCAAGAGCCAACCCTCCTCTCACAGCTCTGGGACCCGACCACTGCAGGAGAAGGGCAGCTCCCAGAGTCATGGACATGGGCTGAAGGTCACGGCCATGAGCAGAATATCGCTGTTGCTTCCCAGGGTGAGGAACCCTTCCCCTTTTAAAGTTTTCTTTTGGAAAAAAAATTTTTTTGTTGTTTACATAAAGTTCCTTAACCCTGTCTTCCCTTCCCCAAAAGATATTTAAAAAGAGGAGCAATGAGCCTAGCTTAGAAATTTTCTCAGTAAAAAAAGCCTTTGCTCATACAGCTAGAAAACTGCCCTACTGCCCAGGACTGGGCAGCCACCACCTCAGAACTGTTCAGAGGTCCCCATTGGCAGCCAGATCGCCATGGCTGTCTGGCTGCCCAGTCACACAGGTTATCTACCTGCACCCATTCTGGCCTAACAGGCTCCCTTGTCTTCATGTGGGCCCACCAGGGAGGCCCCCGCAGGGCAGGCGGGGGGCCCCCGGGCCCTCCTGTCAGATGGCGCTCTCATGGGAGGCTCTGTGCAGCAAGGAGTTGCGCTCGTTGAGAAGTGTAGTGGTCTCATTCACCACCCTCGTCTCAGACTCGGAGTTCTCAGCAAAGCTCTCCGTGCAGGGGGTACAGCCATCTGTGGGGAACTGAGGGCTGTTCTCCATGCGGGAGGCCAGCAGCCCGTTCTGGTACTGCTGCCTAGTGATCTAGAAGGGAAAAAGATGCCGAGTGTTGGGGGTAGTGATGGATGCATTGGGCAGGGGCTGGGAGACTGAGGCCAGAAGAGAGGGTATGACCAGGAGAGAATTTTAGAACCCTTAGGAAAAGCACGGAGCAAGGGCAGGAAGAAAAATGGGCTTGGTGGATGAAAAAGGTGTTGGTGGCTCCTGAGCAGAGCAATCCAAATACCCAGAATGAGGAGGGTGATGGTGGTCTGCGAGGACCATTAGAGGTACTCACCTTAATGTACTGTAAGTCCGTGAGTGCGCGGACACTGAAGTCAGAGATATATTGGCCCACGATGCAGCTGCCAAACTGGTTGGTGCTGCTTGTCAGGCTGCTTGTGGTCGCCACATCTGTATTGCGGTCAGAGTAACTGAGGGAGGCTGAGCGACTAAGTGGGGTGGGGTGGGCTGGGGATCGTTCTGTGGAAAAAGCAGAGGCTGTCAGGCCAGAAGTCATCCTGGCACCTACTCCAGCCTCTTGTCTGACCTCAGCCCAGCAATGACAGGGACACTGTGCCCCGTCAGGAACAGGCCATGGTTCTTAGGGACAAGAAAAAGCCAGTGGAAGCTAAAACTGCACGGGTGTGACATCCTCAAAGCCAGTGAGCAAGTGAGTTTAGAAAAAGTGTCATGCAGCAAGTATTAAAAAAATCCACCAAAACAAGCCAACCAGCCAGAAAACAAACCAACAAGACATAAAAAGTTTAACACCCCAACAACTGTCAAGTGCAACACAATGATTACCCTTGTATGACTGACAAGCTTCTATCCTTGTCTCAATACCAGCTTGTGTCAAGTGGCATAAACTGTATACTTTAAAACAAAAGATACTTAATAAAAGAAAGAACAAACAGTCTGAGCATGATGGTGCACATCTGTAATCCCAGAACACAAGAGGCTGAGGCAGGAGGATTGTGAATTTCAAATCAGCCTGAGCTACACAGTAAGACCCTGATTCAAAAAGAAGGAAGAACATAGTTTTCACTATGAATATACCCCACCCCTACATGTTGTCCTGTCCCATTGTACAATGTGCTCTGCACGTGACCCATTCAGCGTGGAACTCAGATCTACTCATTTCTCTCCCCCGCTGGCCAGCTGGCAGAAGGAACAGGCAGCAGCTCCCTCTCAGAAACCCAGAGGTCCCTGTCATGCAGTAGCAACTGGGCTGGGGGTGGAGCCACCTCTCCCTGCCACCAGAGGCAGCACAGACCTTCCTACTTAGGAAAGGGTAGTGACTCAAGCACAAAGGAGGACAGGAAGAGGAACTGGCAGTTACTGTACATCATTAGGGCTTAGCTTTGAGAACACTTAGACAACAGTGCAATTTTAAACAAAAGGAAGTGGAAGTCGAATTACTAAGTTACTAACTAACCACTAAGTTAGCCATTCTAACAAACAGCCCAGTGGAGACAGCAAACATATTGAGTCCAGTGACTCAATAACCAACACAGCCTTTAACCAAGTAACACGAAATTGAATAACAGTCTATCTTTGTGCCTAGGAAAACCTTTGATTTTTTTTTCATTTATAAAACGAGGAAAATAGGACTGGGGACGTGGCTCAAGTGGTAGAGCATCTGCCTAGTAAGCACAAGGTCCTGAGTTCAAACCTCAGTAATACACACACACACACACACACACACACACACACACACACACACAGGTGCACACATGTATTGCGCAAAAAACAAAATCCAGGAAAGGTCTGGCTAGTCTATGACTGGATAGCAGAACCGCCCCACCCCCGACCCAAACAGAAAACAGAGAGTCAATAGTGTACCACATGCAACCAGCCAGCTTAAGTAGCACCTCTGATTAAATTGTAGAAAAAAAAAAATCACAGAAATACTGGGGGTATTATGTAATATTTACATTATTTGAAGATAAAATGCTTTTTAGTTAATAATTCTAATGCCCTAGAATTAATTAATTAGCTAATTAATTTTCAGTGCCAGGAATTGAAACCAGGGTCTTGCACATGCTAGACAAGTGGACTACCACTGAATAATCCTACGAACTGAATTTAAAACTAACATAAATTAGTGACATGACTTATTTAAAAACAGAAGTCTTAGAAAGAAATACATCAAAATACTGTTTGTTTCTCAAATGAAATTTGTTTCAGGATGTTGTGACTGAGCAAAATAATCCAGATTCATCCCCCCTTTTGTAGCTTTGACAATTTGAATTAGATTTCAAATAAAATCTGAACAGAAAACTATAATGTTGTTTTTTTGCCCAACTGGTGATATCGAGTCCCCAAAAGTCCTACTGAGTGAATTTGGCACTGCTGTTGTGTCTCTCACACCTAACGCACTTACAAAGCCCCAGCATTCAAGCATCTAAAATTTTGTATTTAGTAAGATGATGATCAAAATTGAGGGACCTGAAACTCCTGTTTAGTAGGCCTGCTTACCCATTTCTTTAATAACATCTTGGATAATACTCATACCCAGAGATCAAAAGACTAAGTAGATATGACATGGTGTTTTGCTGATGGAATATCTGGCTAAAACATTTCTGTTTTCAAAGAAGCAATATGATTTCAATACACTTAACCCGTGTTTTGAGCAACTATGTATTTTTAGAGGAATATTAAATCTCTTGATTTTTTATCTTCTATCATGAAAGTTTGTTTATAAAAGAAATTTTGTAACTAGATCTGGCCATAGAATTTTTTTGTATAGTAGTTGTGTTTTTATAATCTGTAGGCTATCTTTCAAACACTGGTATCTGAATATTTCTATAAGCTTATGTTTAAAACAACGTAATTTTTTGTTTTTAAGGATTTGATTTTGGCTATAGTGCAAGTAAAATTTAAAAACAAATGGTTTTCAAGAAATTTTTTTAAAAAGAAATTATAGTGCCTTTTGATTTTCAAAAGATTTTTTTCTATTTTCCCAAATAAGTCATTACTTTTATGATTAAAAGAAAAGAATATAAACTGGATGCTGGTGGCTCACACATGTAATCCTAGCTACTTGGGAGGCTGAGATTGGGAGGATCATTATTTAAGGGCAGCCTGGGCAAATAGTTCATGAGACCCCCCTCTCCCATCTCCAAAATAACCAGTTAAGTGGACTGCTTTACAAGCACCTGCTTTGCAAGTGTGAAGACCTGAGTTCAAACTCCAGTTCCACCCCCATAAATAAATAAAATAAACAGTATAACAAAAACTAGGGCTTTTCCTACACACACACACACACACACACACACACACACACCTGGTAATTCTATTTCTCTCTCCCTCTCTCTCTCTTTTTTTTTTTTTTTTTTGGTGGTACAGGGGTTTGAACTCAGGGCTTTGGACTTGCTAGGCAGGCACTCTACCATTTGATGAGCCACTCCTCCAGTCCTCTGTTTCTCAAAGGATGTCCTAAGGACATCATCTCAAACACACAGAAAGCTTTTTTCATACAGTTTTTTAATATCATCGTGTCATTTATAATAGAGATTCCCCAACAAATACGATGAAGCAGAGCATAAGCAAGGCACACCTGCTCAATGGAACACTATACGGCTCTGATGAGGATGCTGATGGAAAGCACCTAAACACCAGGATTCAAGCCATGGGTCACAAACTCCTGGCCATCAGTGAAATAAGAGCATGTGCAGAAGTCACACCAGTGCAGTTTGAAAAGGACAGCAAGTGACTCCTAAGCTACCTTTTTACTTACTATTTCTAAAACAGGGAGTCAAAATAGCAAAGTGTGTTTTGAAACTTTAAGAAAACTCACAATAAAATAAAATCAAATAAATAAAAGGGCTGGGGGGTATAGTTCAGTGGCAGAGCAATTGCCTAGTATGGGCAAGGAGATGGGTTCCATCTCCACCACCACAAAAAAAAGTAAAAACAAACGAAAAAAAAAAAAAACACCAAACAAACCAACCTAATTGTACAAATATAAAATGGGAAACAAGTGACTGAGGTAGTGTGTTGTAGGGCTATCAGAGCCTAAAAACTAGGAACCCTAGTGAACCCTAGTGAACCTTAGGCTGACTATGTCTGCCTAGCACTTGTTCCCATGACTCCCAGGACAGGTACCAGGCAGGTGACGTATCCAATACCAGAAACAGCATGTGGCATTTGGCCTTTTCCTAAATACTTTGATTGGGATGCCACATTTTAGTTGTAATACAGGAAAAACAGAAGGAGTAACAGTTGGGCTCTAACTAAACATTTTACATCAGCTCTCTTATTTATCACTCCTGATAGCTCTATGAAGTGGGTACAGTATTGTTCCCATTTCCCATATGAAAAGGCCAAGACAGGTAGGATTTAGCTAGTAATATGGAGATAAGATTCTCTTGGGGTAGATGACTTTGGGGCTCACCTCTACTTGCTGGGCTGTGGCCTTACCTAGCAGACAGTCAGACAGACCCAAGCTATTGACTGGAGGAAGTGCAGGAAGGTTTACACGTCACCCTGACAAGGCTTGAGAACAGCCTGGAGTGGAGGTGCTGACCAGCTGGGTTCTGTCTCCTCCAGACTGTGCAAGTCCCCTCCCAGCCCTTCAAGTGGGATCTAATCAGTGCACGCTTGGCCTGACCAGGAGCAACCCTTCATTCTCAGCCTATCATCGACTGTGTGTGGGTATCTGTGTGCCTGTCTCACTACTGAAGCAGGACATGCTTCTCAAGGACTGAAGAACATTTGGGAAGGCCCTTCCAAGACTGCAGCAAAGCTACCCAGAAACTGGGCCCTAGGCTAAGCGGATACTACTAGCCAGGCTGGCCCCCAAGTGTGCCCTGGTTGGATGCCTATAAGGCTGGGTTAACGCAGCTGCAGTGCATGGCTTGGGCAATAGGTGGCAGTGCACACTTCTCCATCATGCCATGTTACCTGAGAGCCAGGAGAGAAGAGAGTTCCGCTTGCCAGGCGGACACCCGACCTGGGTGGAAGGCACTGGAGCAAAAGAGGAGGAGGTCAGTGACCTGGGTGGGGACAGGAGGCAGGACACAGAGGCAGAGCTGATGGGTTAGGCTACCTCTGGCAGGGCTGGGAGGAAGTGGGACACATGGAGAAAAGGGACACGGCTTTGATGGGAGGGGTGTGCACTAGGCAGACCAAGGAGCCCTGTGCAGAACAGGGCAGACCTGGCCCTGTGTGCCAAGAGCAATCTCCCCTCCCAGCCACTGCAAGTGGGATCTGACAGTCTATGAATCAAGGAACAGAGTCCAGGACCCTGGACTCTATGGCAGCCCTAGAAAAAGTCTGCCACTCGGCAAGCCTTTTCTGAATGAGATTCTCCTAGCAGTAGCTAAGCATGGTACCTGTAAACCAGTACTTGGGAGGCTGAGACAGGAGGATCATGGATTCAAGGCCAGCCTGAACTACAAAGTGAGGCCCTATCTCAAAAACGAAAAAAAAAAAGATTTCCTCAAGCAGAATGGACAAGGGTACTCCCGTGAGAGGCAGACAAGTAACTCCTAGGCCTGAGGTATCCAGGCCCACCTGCTGCAGAACGCAGCTCCAGAGCCTCATCCTCCCCCATCCAGGGAAGTTGCCATGCCCTGGATCATCCTGGGCAGGGACAGAGGATGCGGTGAATGAACTGTGTTGATATTCATAGGTGCCCTGGCCTCTGGCATTAGATCTTTCTTGTCAAAAGGTAGTGACGGGAACACACAGGGGATCTCCAGGAACCATGGCCAACACCCAACCAGCGTGGCCTGTTCCCAGGCACCAAAGAGGGCTTTTATTTTCCACCTTGCAGTAAGCTGGGACCTCTTCCAAGGTTGGAAGGCCCACACAGGATGGAGTGGAGCACAGTGAGACTTACTCTCAATGAGAGCCTCCCCCACCACACCACACGGCCTCTCAAACAGAGGAAGCTTGAGCTGCCCAGAACCATCCTAGTGGGAGCCCAGTTCCCCTATGTCTGTCACATGCCCCTTTATTTCAAGAGAACCAACCCTGACCAAAAGGCAGTGGCAGAGCCCCTGAAAAGCCAAACTCATCTGCAACCCAGCAAGGTAAACAGGCCCAGGCCTGGCTCACAACACTGACACTTTGGACATCCTGAATCCCTCATCCCAGTCCCTCTACCTGCCTCCTACTCTGCCCTGGTGTTAAGAAGGTAAGTGATGACCCCAAGGTCCATTCTCTTTTTTTAACATTTTTATTACCATATTTTTGTGGTTTCATTGTGACATTTTCATATATGATTACAATGGTTCACTCCCACAATACTAGCTGGTCCATTCTAACCTCACCATGCTCCCTCCATTTCCCATCACAGTCAGACACCAGCAACTTTCTGGGCTCCCTGATATGTCCCTTACTCTGCACAATCCTTTCCCACAGCAGGCTGGTCTCCTCACCATCTCAGGACACTACTTTTCATCTCTTCCCCTATGGCCTCCAAAAGGGAAAGTCACTCTGCTCCTCTAAGCCACTTCCTCCAGGCCTGACAGGTCTCCCTTCACCCACAGCCACCTGAACTACCCTCAGTTCCCACCTGCTAAATGGCAGCATAGATCCAGCCCAACAACTCACCAGGGGGTGCAGAGGAAAGGGCCATGGTTCCATAGTATGAGAAAGCGCCCGTCTCAAACTTCATGTTCTCCTTCCCTGCCTCCACCTCCACCTTCCCCTAAAAGAACATGGGGTCAAGGTTACAACCACCAGGAGAGATGAGGCCCAAGCAGGCAGTGAACTGCAGGCAGAAGAACTAGCTCCTGAGCACTGAAGAGTTCAGGGTGGCCTGTCATGGAGAGGGTGGGCACCCCGGAGCAAGAGGAGGTTCAAGGGCAGGCTGAATGCTCCCTAGCACCTCAGCAGAAGGGGATAGTGGGCATACGAGGGTACTCTGTGCAGGGAAGAACAGGTAGGTCAGCAAGCCTGGGCTCAGATTTGGGGACATTTACCTGGAGGATGAGGATGAAATAGTCAGCTGGCTTGTTCCGGGTGTATAGGTAATGGCTCACATAGTACCTGTCACGATCATCAAACTTGAGTTCCTGAATGACATCTGGATACTTGAGCAGCCGTAGCAGTATTTTCTCTGATATCAGAGAGGGGCTAAACTGGGACACCTCTGTAGGAGAGAGAGGAAACTTCACATCCAAACCACAGTGGCCACTGTACTGAGATGGCTTGGGCCATTCCTTTGGGCTACACCTTCTTAGGAAGGGCTGCACTTGGCTTCTCACTACTTAGATCCAGGTCTGTCCATCTGCACGAGCTTGAAGGATCACTCTTGTGCTAACAGCCCTTGACCCTGGGCAAGTTACTGAACCTATGTCTTAGTTGCCTCATCTGTAATAACAACTTCACAGGGTGGTTTTCACATTTAAGTGAGACAATACATGTAGAGCACTCACACACATTCTTGGCATGTAGATAGTGCTTAACATCCCAGCAGGAAAAATAAGGGAAAAGGAATTACTGCACCGTTAGCAAGTGAGGGTTGGGAAGGAAGGTGGATTAAGGGAGAGCAGGTGGGTAAGCAGGTGTTTTTCTCAACTGTCACCCAGGTCCTGAAGGGAGCTGTGTGTGAATTGAGTGAGAAGACTGTCACTGGTCTATACGTCAATCATGCAGGACCAGCACAGGCACAGAGGGAGGCTGGGGAGATGAGAACAAAGCTGGACACAGGGTCTTCAGAGCAGAAGAAGAGAAAGGATATGAGCTACACTCAGTGGGCACAGAACCAACCCAAGGTCCCTTCTCCATACTTCTCCAGGGGCCCCAGGAACCCCCTTACGTGTTCCCAGTGCTTACTTTCAAAACAACTCAGATACTTCCTAGAAGTTTGCAAGGGTGACCCATTCATAGCAAATGCCCGGCAGGGAGTGGCTCCTGGAGGGACACTTGGTCCCCTCTGAGGCAGCTGTATCTGCTGCATCCTCTCCAATTAGGAAAGTGGCCAGAAACCCAGGATTTCTCCCTCCATGCCTATAGTTCCACCAACAATGTAAGGTCCACTTCTTACCCGTGGACAGGAAGCGATGAGCAGCCAGAAGGAGCTGAGGTGAAATTTTTACTTTCAATTCATTGTCAGTGTCCTTGAAGGCTGAGAAGTCACGCTTGCTCTTCTCAGACACTCGTTTCCGGCTTCGATTGTCAACTGCAAGACAAAGGACCTAGAACTGAGAACACTGACCCCTGAGGACTTAGAACAGACTGGAACTTTTTCCCAGCACTCCAGGTGCTTTATGCCATACAGGAGCAGCAGGCTCAGGCCAGGAGGGGCACAGCTGGCCTCCCCTCACCACACTCAGTATTATGCTCCCTGCTCATGGTGGCCAGCACAGGACACCTGATTACTGGTCTCACTCATGTGCCAGGGCCTCCATGCTTTGCACTGTGGCCTTTCTACCTAGGGACACTAGGTTTCAGATCTGAGCTGGAAAGGTATTCTGGGCCCGTGGATAGGGCCAAACTCACTGTACATGTCCGACTCATCCAGGATCTCAGATTTGATGATCTCCTCAATGACATCCTCCAGGGTGACCAGGCCCAGCACCTCGTAGAAGGGGTCACCCTCACCCTCATTATTCACCTTCTGCACAATGGCCAGGTGGGACTTCCCTGTGGGGACAATGCACTGAGTCAGACAAGAGCACAGGAGCCAAGCATGAGATTCCCTCTACCACAATATCTACACATTCAGAGTCATGAGTCATCAGGGTGCAGTCACAACGGGTTTTCTCCCCCTTCTATATTTTCTGGTGTTTGTACTATAAACAGATACTGCTTTTATGAAAAGGAAGACCCAGAGTATTTTAAAGGCATTTCACTAAGGACCCCTTGTTTAAAGAGGATGAAAATGACAAGGCCCTGTCTAGGGCTATTTACCAGAGGCTACTGGGACACTCAGGAAGGGGACAGACCACACTATAAGGGTACATGGAGTCCTTAATAGAGGCATGTGCTTGTACCAACTGGATAGAGAATCTAGTGCTGCTCACCCCTATAGGGCCTCATGGCTCAGTTTCTTCTGGCAAGCCCCTCTGCCTGGACGCAGAGGCTACCACGCTGCCCAAAGCACAGGCTCTAAGTTCCCAAAGCCATTAACAAATTAGCCCATTGTAATTAAGCCAGGTGGAGTCTGTAATTAGAATGGTGCCTCCCCTTCAGCCTAAAGCCACCAGAGAAAGTTAAGAGGTATGGATGGGACAGGACCCTCTGTAGAAGCTTTGGGGTGTCAGGGCTTCCCAGGTTCTCTTTTGGGGTGCTCACTCTGCTCTCTGTCCCCAGTCCCAGAGAGCAACAACAGGGGAACAGCCAAGAAGGGCCTGGCCCACACTCTAGAAATGGAACTCTGTGCTTCACATAGGGAGGTAGGGCAGGGGGTGGTAGAACACACAGGTTTAGAGCAGACTCAGGGAAAAGCCCTGGGGATCTGTGAAGGTCAAGCCAGGTCTCTTGCATGGCTTTCCCTTCCTAAGCAAACACTCAGGGCCTCACTCTAAAGCTGGAATTCATTTGAAACACTCTTGGGAAAGGGTGTTTTTTTGGCCTCCAGGCCACAAAAAATCCCTTAGCCCCAGGATAGACTCTTCAGAACTCCTGAGGGCCCCTTTGGAAGAAGAGAGAAAGTGAAGTCTCAGGAAGAAAGTAAAATTACCATGGTACACCCCACCATGATGAGGGGAGCACTGTTTTCAACACACATGCCAGACACTATGAAACATACAGGTTGCATGTAGTCAGAAAAGTTGTAGCTCCATGCTAGACAGAATCATAGCTGGACTCAACTACAAATTCGCTCTATTTTTTCTAGAGATAAGCCAACAAGGCAAGATATCTGTCAGGGTCAGGACCCTGGGGTCTGTCCTCTGGGCATTCGTACCTGTCTGTTCTCTGGGGAGAAACAGTGCCTCCAGGGGCCTGAGTAGCCAGATAAAACTATGTCACCAAAAAGGGACAGAAATTAAAGAAGGCAGATTTCAGCACCTTCCAAACTGGCACCCCTAAAAGCCTGTTGGTGTTGGGTGGGAAGAAAGAGATCCTTATTGGTAGACAGGTAAAGTGCACAACGTCTCAGGAGGCCAATTGGGTAGGATGTCTCAAAATGAAGGGTCCCTACCCTTACACTCAGAAATTCCACTTCAAGGAATTTATCCTATGGAAACTTAACTGTCACAAAAGCACAAGCACACAAAAGCAAGGGGGTTCATCGCAACCTTCTCCCTAACAGTCCCAAACCAGAAACCTAAATCAACTTTCACAGCTGAGTCCTGGACAGGGGCCCTGGCTACTCTAGGGACAATGTAGTAGAGTTGAATGGACAAAATGTGGAATCCCCAGATGCACTTAGTGGAAGAACAAGTTATGGGGCACAGTGACACAGGATGCACAAGAACAAAGGAGCATGGGGTATAGAACTAATGTAGAAATATCTGGAAATGGCAACAGGGTATATGGAGTTTGGAGGAGGAGTCCTGTTGTCTTTCTTTGTACCCCTTCTAGACTGTTCTATTAAATGGGCATGTTTTACTTAAAAAAACAAAACAAAACAACTGAAGAGCTGGGTCTATAGCTCTATAGCTCATTGACAGAGTGCTTGTGTAGCATGTGCTATACCCTGACTTCAATCCCTACCACTCCAAAAAAAAAACAAAAAACAAACAAAAAAAAAAAAAGCCCTTGCCAGGAGCTGGTGGTTCACACCTGTAATCCTAGCTACTCAAGAGGCAAAGATCAGGAGGGTCAAACAGACCCTATCTCGAAAAAAACCATCACAAAAAGGGGCTGGCAGAATGGCTCAAGCAGCAAGAGTGCCTGCCTAGCAAGTGCAAGGCCCTGAGTTCAAGCCCCAAACACCCTGAGAAAAAATTAAGGGGAAACTAGTGGTGAGAGTCAAGGACCTGTGTGCCCCCTGCTGCCCCAAGTCTGGCAAGAATCCTTTAACAAGGATCAGTGAGCAGTATCTTGCTCATACAAAGTCAGAAAACACCCTTCCCCTCACTAAAATTCCAAAGTTGCCCCCACCACCCAGGCTCAGAACAATTTTGACTCATCACTATGGATGAAATGAGCTGATCCCTGAGCAAGGTCTGGCTCCTACTCCAACCCTCTTGCCTCCCCTCCCAGCAACCCACCCCCCTTTATCTGTGGTACTGGTTTGAACTCAGGGCCTACACCTTGAGCCACTCCACCAGTCCTTTTTTGTGTTGGGTTTTTTGAGATAGGGTCTCTCAAACTCTTTGCCTGGGCTGGCCTTGAACTGTGAGCCTCCTGATCTCTGCCTCCTAAGTAGTTAAGATTATAGACGTGAGTCACTGGTGACAAGCCTCCCAGGCCCCTTTGTGGGATTCACCACTGTGTGTGGGCGCCCTCTAGTGACAGCCACCTCTGGAACAGACACCTTGTAGGTATACCGCCCTAGGGCACATCACAGCTTCACCCCTGCACAAGTTCACCTCTGCACTAAGAGCTTGGGGCACTGTTCCTGCTGATGGCTGGCCATCTGGACCCCACACAAAGGTTATTGCTAAGGGGCCACTCAGTCACAGTCGGCTGGGCCAGCCATGGGCCCCTGGGCTGTTTGTCTTTTTCTAATTTGTCTGCTCAAAGGGGACATCTTTTTATCCTGGCAGAACCTTTCTCCTGTCAAGGTCATCAGTGACTTCCAAAGGTGAGATCTTATCTCGGATGACCTGATCACCAGGGGTGCTCCCTCCCTCCTCCCGGAAACCCCTCCTCACTTTGACAACCTTGATACTGTTCTCTGGTACGCCTGACCTTAGTGGCTACTCCTTTTCCCTGGCCTCTTTGTTTATTTGTTGTTTTGTTTTTCAGACAGCGTCCGGCTATGTAGCCTAGGCTGACCTTGAATCCTCCTGCCTCCACCTCCCAAGTGCTGATATTTGGTGTGTGCCCACATCCAGCTCTTTCCTAACCTCTTACTGCTATAAGGTGCAGGGGCTCAGTTCTCACACCTAGATCCTTGCAGTAACTTAAACGCAAGCTGGGTGTCAAGACTTCCCAAATAAGTATGTGCAGCTTTGCCCTCTCCTGTGCCCTCCAGACTCTTATCCTGCTGCAGACTGAGCACCCTAACACCTTGAACTTAACACAGAGAAGAGCCACCTCCTGTGCCCCCCAGCCTTCCCCTCCTTTGTTGGGGCAGCTCCATCCTGTCCTTCCAGTTGATCAGGCTCAGAGGCGACGGGCCTGGCCTCCTCTCTTTCTCTACCCCTCTACACCCACTCAGCAGAAGAAAAGCATTCAGTAAGAGGAAGGAGAAATGGATGCAGACCAGAGAAAGACATTTCTGCACTTTAGTAAGTTTGATGTTTCTGTATTTTAGAAACCACTGCTAACTTATTTATCATTTAAAATAAGTAGATCAGGGGCTGGGGATGTAGCTTGTTGGTTAGAAAGCTTACCTAGCATGCCCTGGGTTGGAGCCCCAGCCCCATAGAAATAAACATATAATAAAATAAAGTAAGCAGATCAACGTAGGACTTGAATTTATGATTGTCTTTATACAGATTGTAACTCTAACATAAAATTTTATTTTAATGAGCTACCTCATTTTATTACTGCTGTTCATTCAACTGGATAACTAGATTTGGGAGGTGGTTGAGGTGAAAAATGAAGCAAGAAAATTTAAATAATACATCTATAGCTGAAAATTCACATTTCTCAAAGTAGTACTTACTCAAGGAAAACTACTGAGGAAGTAAAGCAAAATGTTACTACTAGGTCAAACCATATAAAACTGCTGATACTTGACTTTTTTTTTTTTTAACCAAACCAGCAATTTCTTATGGTGTGACCCAACCATATATGGGATTGAGGATGGGTTTTGTTTTATTTTTTTTAATTTTCTGATAGAAATTCCAAACATTGCATTATTGATTGTATTAATTTTATAATCACAGAGAAACATGTATAAAGTAACTTTTAAAAACATTCTAATTTCCTCTGGTTCTTCAAGGCTCCTAAGCCTTCCTAAATTCAAGCACTGGTGAAAAGGGAAAACATGGGTGACCGGGATGCAGAAGGAGGCACCTGGGACCCTGGCACCCCAGTGTTTCCTCTGGGTCCTGCAAACTCCACCCTTTACTGGCCTTTGACCAGGAGTAGCCAGGTGGGACCTTCCCTCCCCAGTCAGAGAGCCAGCAGTGAGGCCTCAAGAAACCTGCCAGCCAGAGCCCCTTCTCACCTCAACAGATCACTAATCGACAGCAAGGCGTGAGAGGACCCAGAACTGGCCTGAGTCCCTCCACAACTCCTCTTGCTCTCAGCCTTTCTGTGTCACATCTTTATCCTTCTGCCCTCAACACATGGATCACCCTGGGTGCCCCCTGCAAGGTTTCACTGATCCAGCTCCTAACCTCTGGACCTCCTTGCACAACACATGTGCCTTTGACTACCCAGTGTCCAAGACCTCCAAACCCTTGGCTGGACACAAAAAGAAGTACCCCAAGGGCCACAGAAGGCCCAGTCCCCCACCCTGCATGATGCTCATTTTAGCAAACTGTTGCCTCCTCCTCCCTCCTATAAAATTCTTTTTACAGCCCCTCAAGGATCATAAGGAAACACATTACCAGGTGCTGGATTTCAAAGTCCACAAG